CAGAGTCTGAGGTGCTTCACGAACCCCAGGTTGCCCCTACTCAAGCCACATGGCTCCTCACTGGCCACAGGAGCATCTGCTTGTGGCGCAGAAGCCCAACATGCTAATGCTTTGGCTAGAAATGGGATTTCACTCCATTGGCAAAAACTGAGTCCATGCGCGATGCCGCAAGCAACAGCAAGCTTGATCTGAGCTTGTTCACCAGGAAGGAAGTGGGGGCACATGAGTGATGTTTAGGTCCCCAGATTGTGCCATGCATTCCAAGAGAGATGTGACCAAGGACTCTTGGCCATGACCAGCAAATGTGCAGATTATCTAAGGGAAGGGACATTTGGGGTGGGTCCTGATGGGTATATCAGAGTTTTAAATGAAAGGGTGGAGTAGTGAACAATGAGAAGAGTTCAGGGTGCATCAGGGAAGGTGTAGCTACAGGAACAAAGGCCGGCTGGGCTGTGGCTGTTCTAGATGTCAGGATATTGGTCTGAATTAGCTCATCAAGTAACAAGGAGCCATTGAGGGGATTTTTTGTTTTGTTTTTTAGCAGAAAAGGACAGCTTTTTTTTTTAAAAAAAAAAAGATCATTTATTCATGTGTGTGTGTGTGTATTATATGTGTACAGGTGCCTACAGATGTTAGAAGATGGCATAAGACTCCCTGGAACTGGGGTTATAGGCCATTGTGAGCTGCCTGATGTGGGTGCTGGAAACAAAACTTAGGTCTTCTAGAAGAGCCTGTGTTGCTTACATAGAACTCAAAGTCTTTCACCATGAAGTGAAGTCATATGTTTTGTCAAAGGGCTAGCATATTGGACTTCTGCTTCGTCGGTATACAAAGCAGTGGGCAGCGAGTCACCAGTGAAGCCATGCTGATTGCTCAGCGGCAAGCTCCGTGAAGTGCTTGCTAGTGCTCTTAACTGCTGAGCCATCTCTCTAGTACCTGTAGAGAGCAGTCATCTTGGCCACCGGATTTATGTCTTGCCCCTACAGCCCTTCAAGAATCTTGACGGCTGGTAAGATGTGCTAGTATGTCTCCGTCCGTATGTGAGTGTCAACCCAGCATCCAGGGAGGACAAGATGGGATGGTGGTCTTGACACAAGTGCCAGAAACAGGTACTGGAGACTTGTTGAGGCGTTCACCTGGAGACCAGGGTTGCCTGGGCAGCTAGGTCAATCTGAGACACCTGTGTGGCCAACTATACCACCTTCCCATCATCTTTTCAGTCACCTACCTGACCCAGAGGCCCCAGGAGTCTCCTGCAGGACATCTGTGTACTCATTTCTAGACTGTGGCAGGAAAGAGGGTGCTTGTGTCTGTAGAGGATTATATTTTTTATCTACAGGCCTTTGGTCACGTCCTGAGGTGAGCCATGGCCTGTCTGTCACTTGTTCTGGCCATAAACTTCAGAGAGCTGCTGTGGGCAAGTCTGGGGAAGAGGGTAACTTACTGGGGGCTCGAGCAGTCGGAGCTGGGCGGGGCGGAGGCAGGCAGCAGCGGCCTGACTGTACTGGGTGGCAGATGGGCAGTAGAGCGCTGGATGTCCAGCCCTGAGGGCAGCACTCAGGGGTCCTGCGTCCCTCAAGACACCAAATGGGTTTAAATGGGGGCGTGAAGACAGGTAACTTCTGTTTAATCATTGGTAAAAAGTTGCTTTTCTATAACAGAGACTGAAATTCCTGGCAGGACATTGTTTTGGGGCCCCTAAAGACTCGCACATAAACTTCGGAGACAGGAAAAACCGCTGAGCTACCACAGTCCAGCATCTTCTCTCTTGAGTTTGGGTCTAGAACAGTTGAGGCCCAGGGGAGTCTACTGGTGAGACTCTGGGGATCAGCTGAGATCATCTTAATATAGACGCTGGCCTCTTGCCCTAATCATACCCTCCCTTCCCTGTGTGGGCTGGACATCCAAAGAGCCTGGTTGGTCCCTGGGGTCCTCTCACAGCCTGCTCAGGCCACCAAGGCTGACAAGGGAACATTTGTGGGCCCTCTGGGGTCACCATCTAATAACTGTGTGAAATATGTAGGCCCAGGACCAAGTACATCTGTCAGTCTGTCCTCGCCCTGCATCAGGGGTACCCAGGCTAAAAGGAGCTGCAGGTTAAAAAGCATTAACCAAGGTTGGGTTCAGGGAGAGCAGGAGCGGGTAAGACAGGCCAGAGAAGAGCCCTAAGCCCGACCCTATATATCTAGGCAGCACAGCCTATGCCGTCCTTGGAGTTGTCTGTGGCCCAGCCTGAACTGGAGGTGGCTGTATAAACTAGACAGGCTGGAAACCTCTCCCCTCCCCACCTTGTAAGGCACAGAGTTCTTGACCTCACCTTGGCTTCATACAGTCGAGAAATAAAAGCCAGCTGATACTTTGGTCCTGGCTTACATATTTCATACAATTATTAGATGCTGACTCCAAAGGGCCCACAAATGTTCCCTTGTCAGCCTTGGTGGCCTGAGCAGGCTGTGAGAGGACCCCAGGGACCAAGCAGGCTCTTTGGAAGCTATGCCGAGTCCAGCCCACACAGGGAAGGGAGGGTATGCCTTAGGGCAAGAGGCCAGTGTCTACATTAAGATGATCTCAGCTGATCCCCAGAGTCTCACCAGTAGACTCCCCTGGGCCTCAACTGTTCTAGACCCAAACTCCAGAGAGAAGATGCTGGACTACGGGAGCTCAGCAATTTTTTCCTGTCTCAGCAGTTTATGTGCAAGTCTTTAGGAGCCCCAAAACAATGAAGGGCACAGATCTTCTTTCAAGGCAGGGATATGTGTGTGTGGGGGGGGGCTGCTGGGTCGTTTTACCCTTCTCCTCTGTGAATGACTCCCCTCCCTTCAAGTGCCTTTTAAATCCTTCTGTATTAGTTGGGGGAACAGAACCAATAGAATGAATATGTACTGAAGGGCAGTTTATTAGATTGGATTACATGACAAGGTCTGGGTAGTTCAACAGTGGCTGTTGTACATGGTGAAGCCGGGAACTCAGTGGCTGCTCATTCTACAAAGCTGGGCTAGTCCCACCTAGCACTGACAGTCTAGAGGATTCCTGGTGAGCTGCTGGTTTTCAGTCTGCTTGGAAGCCTGAAGAGACTGGGTTCTGATATCAGTGAAGGAACCACAGCCACCACCAACAGCAATAGCAGCAGCGTTAAAGTAGAGGAACTTCCCCTCAAGAGTGAAGGCAAACAGGCCAAGTTGAAGCTTCCTCTTCCAGTTCCTTTTGTGTGGAGTACCTCCCACATCTAGCACGTGTCTTCCCACTCAAATAACCCGCTCAAGAAAATCCCTCTCCTGTGTGCCCAGCAGCCTGTCTTTTATTTGATCCCAGATCCAATCATGCTGACAAGCATGATTGACCATCTTTCCTTCCTCCTTCCCTCTCTCCTCAAGTTTCCCGCCCCATATTCCTTTTCTTGCTAGATGGCGCCCATTCCTTTCTTGGCACCAGGAAGTGCCTGCCCTTTCTGTGTACCAGGCACTGTGCCAGCCAGAGCCCAGCAGGTGGAGGCCCCACTCTGCCATATCACCAACCCTCTTCTCAAACAGAGGAGGATGCTGTTTGGTTCCCCGGGGGCCATCTTGTGCCTCTACCCACTCCAGCCCCCACCAAAGGACTCCATGACATGGTATCAGTTTTTCCTCGGACACAGAAACAGTGCTGGCATCTGGTGATACTCTGGATGCTGCATTGCCCCTGGGACTTAGGAATGGAGGGCATGAAGTTTTCACCTCCTTTCTCCATCTCTGGAAGGGGAGAACAAAGGTCTCACCAGGAGCGCTGGGGTCGCCTCTGCCCTGGAACACCCAGGCTCCTTTCCTTCTGGAACAGTGCTCCTCTGGGGTTAGAGGACTCCTCTCAGCAGCCAGGGGCATGGGATACAAAGTGAGCTTTGTTTCAAGCTGTGAGACCTGGGTAAATGATGGACTTTTGTGGTGCCTCAGTTTCCCCATCTGTTATTTGGGTTTGGTATAAGAATGGCATCCCTGTGTGGGGGCGGCACTAAGTCTCTAGTCGCGGCAGTTGTCATGAGGAGTGGCTCGGGCAGGGGAGGCCCTGGGGAGTCAGTGTCTGCTTCTGTATTAACTCGGCACAGCATATACACTGAGGAGCTTAACCCGGCTCTGAACCTGGCTAGGATCACAGTGGAGGAGGGGGGGGTAGCAGCTGTCTGCACACAGACTCTAGGACCATTGCTGTGAAAACTGGGCGCAGGAGGCAGTGCCCTGAAAACAGGCAGCCCAGAGCCCTCAGAAATGGCATCTTTATGAATAGCCACATTTTCTGGTTAACTAAGGTCTTAATTCTCTGGGTATAAACATATTTTTCATTTCATTCATTTGGGATAGAAATATATTATTCATCTATCTGCCTTCCGGAACTGGATATACCGAGCACACATTAGCTTCTCATGAAAATTCAGGTTTATTATAAAGAACGTAGAATTTAATAGATTTCATAGAATCTGGGAGCTTTTTAAAAAGAACCTCAGAAAATATTGAGCGGAGGGGCATTAAAACGTATTTTTAGCTACCGTCTCTATTCACATTCCATCTTGGAGAGAAGCCCGAGAGTAAAGCCGATGTAAGTGAGCCCCAAGGTCAGCCCAGCCAACTGGTACCTGGGAGCAGGCCACAGCTCGCCAGCTCCAAAGCGTTCGCCTAGGAAGGGGCCAGAGTTCAGGTCGAGGACAGTGCCTACCCATGGGGAGGACCTGCTGAATCTGCAAGGCAGAAGAGAGGAGGAGGGGAAAGGAAAGGAGAAGCTGGACGGCATCTTCAGATGGCAGCCGCGTTCAGGGTGAAACAGAAGCCAATGACCCTAGCCACCAAAGCCTTCTAGAAGGACTGTGCTTCCCCCATGTGACCTGACAAGTCACCTGTGGCCAGTGACCACCTTGCTGAACAGCACAGGCTCTGAGCAATTTGGCTGGGCCACAGGAGGCACATCAAAGGGGCATAGGTGGCCTGGGCCCTTTCCTGGCATGTCACTCACCATCTCCCCTTTTACCACTGCAGGCAACCGACAATGATGTGGGCACCTTTGGGGAAGTCAACTACTTCTTCAGTGATGACCCTGACAGGTGAGTTCCTGCCCTGGCCTCTTGGCAGCAGCTTCTGACGACCCATAGAGTCCAGCAAACTGCCCTGTGCCCAGGGGAGCTCCGAGAATCTGAACCCTAGAACAGTGGTTCTAAACCTTCCTAACACTGCGACCTTTCAATACAGCTCCTCATGCTATGGTGACCCCCCCAACCATAAAATTATGTTTGCTTCTACTTCATAACTGTATGTTTGATATTGGTATAAATCGTAGCATAAATATCTGATATCTGACCCCCCCCCAAAGGGGTCACGACCCATGGGTTGAGAACCACTGCTCTAAAGCAAGATTGTTTGTCTGGCTCTAGCTGGAACCAGCTGGCTAAGCCCCTAAGCTCTCTGGTACAGGGTTTCTCTGGACATAGCTTTGGGAGCAGAGAAGCAGGCATCTATGAGGCCCAGAAGTTTGAACACTGCTCCTCCTGCCACCAGAGGCCACGGAGGACATTTGAGGACCCACTGTGCACCAGGCTCTCTGTCAAACACTCACCATACATCGGCCTTAGTCCTGGATCGTCCCTTGTCACTGATAGGGAGTTCAGTCATCAGAACTCTCCTCACTTCCATTGGACAGGAAGTCGCAGCTCCAAGAGGCTGGGTGACTTACAAAAATTCACACAGCTGGTAGGCAGCAGGGCTAGGCCTCTATACATGGCCTCTACCGCCAGGACACATGGCCGCTACCAGGAGGGTGACTCTCGGCATACAGCAGCTACAAGTTGGACCGCTTGACTCTGTGCTTCCCTGCACATGGTAGTAATACAGTCCTTGATCTAGACCTGGTCTGCCTCTTGCCATCAGTTTATCAGAGGCTGGGAAGACCTGCCAATTGAACATGTTCAAAGGCCTAGTTGAAGCCACAGGGCAGGTCCGCTGCTGAGAATGAGCAGCCTAGGGCTGGGGTGACACCTCGGTCAGGAAGGTACTTACCATGCAAGTATGGGGATCTGAGTTCGATCCTCCTGGAACCCAAGTGAAAAAGCCAGGTATGATGGTACGTGCTTGTAATCCCAGAGGAGGGAGAGACGGGAGGATGCCCTGTGGGGCTCACAGACCAGACAGCCTGAGCTCTGGGTCAGTGAAAGACATTGTCACAAAGCCCTTCCATACACATGTGTAGACAAGTACACTTGCACACATGCTATTATACATATACACACCACACATACACAGAGAGAGAGAGAGAGAGAGAGAGAGAGAGAGAGAGAGAGAGAGAGAGAGAGAGAGAGAATGAATAGTCACATATATTTGGAAGCCCAACCTAATGAGGCAGTTTGGCTGTGAACTAGCATTAACACCCAGATAGTCCATGGATGATCAAGGAGAAACTGGGACCCTATTAGGTGTCACTGGCAATGCTGAACACTCTGCGACAGAGGCCCCAACACTAGGTAGATGCATAGCAGTGGCTGGATGCACAGGGCAGTATCTCCCTCAGGAGCCCAGTGGTCCTGGGGCCCAGTCATCCTGACTCTCTCCTCTCTTCCCATCTCTGGACCCAGGGTTTCCCAAGCGCCCTTCCAGGCGTGAATTGCTGGCAGCCGCTGGACAGGCAAAGCATACACACGGTCCTGGTAGCTCATGTGGATTTCTAAAGGGCACCCCTAAAGGCGATAGCTGGAGGGTTGGTCTCACTGGCCCTCATGATCCCCAGAACACTTCGACCAGCCTCTTCCCAAAGGCTTGATCCCTCCAGCAAATGATAGTATCAGCTCCAAAAGAGGACCCAGCACCCTTCTCCAACTATCAGACAGCAGAGTTTGTGTCCCCAGTTCTCTGTTATCTAAACACGCCCAGTGGGCAAAGCTCCTCCTCACAGAGAGGGGCCTGTCACCGGGTCCTTGGCCCCCCACTGGAGCTCACCCACAACGTGCTTTAATCCTGGCATCCTCTCCCTCCTCCCTCCCCGACACAGGTTCTCACTGGACAAGGACACGGGGCTCATTGTGCTCATAGCTCGGCTGGACTACGAACTTATCCAGCGCTTCACCTTGACTGTCATCGCCCGGGATGGAGGTGGTGAGGAGACCACGGGCCGGGTCCGGATCAATGTGCTGGATGTCAATGACAATGTGCCCACCTTCCAGAAGGATGCCTACGTGGGTGCCCTGAGGGAGAATGAGCCCTCTGTCACGCAGCTGGTGCGGCTCAGGGTAAGGCCCAGGAGCCCTGCTCTTGTTATCTCCTGAGTTCTTGCAGGTGGCACCAGACTCCCATCTACATGCCTGGAGCTCCTCTGAGCATCACCTCCTGCCCCTAGAGAGCCAGAAGGGACGCATTCAACGTGTTTGCCTCAACCCAGATGTCAGGCCATTTAGCCTGAAGGCACCCCCAATGCCCCCTTTCGAGGCCATAGGGTGGGGTGTCCGTCCCGTTGCAAAACCACCATTAGCGTGGTAAGATGGCTCAATGGGAAAGGGCCTGCGATCAAATATGAGGACCTTGGTTCAGTCCTGAACTTCCCTGTCAAAACTGAATCACACCTGTGATCCCAGTGCGGAGGAGGGGAGACAGGAAGGTCCATGTTAGCCAGTTGGCAAGGTCCAGTTTCAGTGAGAGAGAGACCCTCACTGGGAGGTGGTGGCACACGCCTTTAATTCCAGCATTCAGGAGGCAGAGGCAGGCAGATCTCTGTGAGTTTGAGGTCAACCTGGTCTACAGAGTGAGCCCCAGGACAGCCAGGGACAGAAAAACCCTGTCTGAAAAACACCAAGGGGATGGGTGGAGAGAGAGACCCTCTCCCAAAAGATAAGGCAAAAAACAGTGAAAAATACACGTGATGTCAACATCTGGCCTCCACACACACTCACACAGGTGCACATGTATCTACACACATGTACACACACATACTTGAGAATGTACACACACACACATAAAGTAGCCACAGAAACCACAAAAGGAGAAGCAAGGGAGAGATGGGCAGTGAAGGCATTGCCTGTGGGGAGAGAGTGGGGCCCACCTGAAATGAGGCTCTGTTCTGCCTAAGTCCCCTGCAGCAAGTCCCTAACACACAGCAGTGATCTCTAACCAGAGACTTCATGTCCCCTCACGGTTTCCCCATCATCAGAACCAAAGTGACAGGACCCAGGCTCTCTCCTTGGAGCTTGTTTCTGAAACAAACGGTGAAGGCAAGGGTGAAGAGTGGGCATGGGTGCGCAAAAGATATGAGCCACCTAGCCTGCCATGATTTCCCCAAAGACCCTGCCCTTCCCTTTGACTCAGCCCCATGCTGGAAAGTCCTGAAGGCTCTCTAGAGTCAGAGACACTCTAGAAAGAAGTTCCCACAGTCAAAGGAAGAAGCATCCCTGGTCCCTTTCTGAATATTTGCTTCCCTTCTTACCTACAAGCGACATGCATTTAATAGGAACCAACTGTGCACCAAGCCAGGCATGCTGCAGCACTCAAGAGTCAGAGGGCCCTGCACACATAGGCCCACGGACTAATTGCAAGCAGCAATTATAAGAACTTACAGTGGGCCTCAGAGCGCTAGCAGAATACCCAAGGATCCCAGTTTTAACCTGTCTTCTGTTGCTGGAGTGCAGTAGCGGAGGCTGCATACTTTATAAAGGAAGCAAAGTGCTGTGTGCCCATCAATTTGACCTCGGCCTAAGCCGAGGCTCCCTCACAGTGTTGTAGACAGCATCATGAGTGGATCAGGCAAGGAAGTTCACACAGCTAGATAGGAAGCAGGACAGATTCAAGATCAGGCCTTCCTTTCCTATAGTAACTTGATCTTGATCAGGGTCCCTTAAAATGACATTAATTCATGCTAGTGGCAGAACCTCCAATGACATAACCACCTCCCACGAGGCCCCACCCCTTAAAAGTTCCACTACCTCTTAATGCTACCCACCCCGAGAACCAAGCCATTAACACATGAACTTTTGGGGACAAACTGAATAGCAGTCGTAGCAGTCTTATCTCTGGGGGGCCATCTATGACGTGAGGTGTTGGGGCTGGAACAGAGAATATGGGACATTGATATGCCAGTCATCCCCTGGAAGAGCCAGCTCCATTTTCCAGCCCACCTTTGTGCCCACAAGTGGAGGGAACAGAGTTTTGCCGGGAGCCAGAGAGTGGGTTCCTTTTGAGGAATAAGAAGGTCCCTGAGGTCCTGGGCCAGGAGGTGACCTGAGCTACACCATCCAAAGAAGAGCCAAGAGGAGTTGGGCTGCTTCTCCACCACGCTGTCCTGGTCCCACATCTTTGGTGAGCTCAATGGGCCGTGTCTGCCCCGTTCCTTCCAGGCAACAGATGAAGACTCCCCTCCCAACAACCAGATTACCTACAGCATCGTCAACGCGTCCGCCTTCGGCAGCTACTTCGACATCAGCATCTATGAAGGCTACGGAGGTGCGAGGGGGGCAGGGTAAAGGGCCCAGCTGGGAAGAGGGGTGGTGGGCCCCTTGCAGTCATGGCCCCTTCAGGGGTGGGGGCACCCTACAACTCCCATACACCCTGTACTTTTCTGGAAGCTGCTGGGCCACTGTGGCTGGAGTAGGATGTGGCCAGAAGTCATATCTCCCCAAAGCCAAGAGCTAGCACACACCAGGCAGACCTTTCTCTGTGTCTTAGTTAGGCCCATGGCCAACCGTGCAGGTACAGCAGGAAGCCTGAGGTGACTAGAGTCCATGGAGGAGGCACATTGGATGAACCTCACTGTCCTGTGGGCAGGTCTGTGTGGCTACCTCCCAGTCTTTCATTGAGGGCCTAGTCTCCATCTAAAGAAATGGGAAATGGTGGCGGGCTCTTTCCCAGCAGCCATGTTCTATGGCGTCCGGAGGAATGATGGCAGAGTTGCCTAGTTACACAATAGTGACCTGTTGGTGTGCTCAGCACTGAGCCTAGCGCTGGCAGTCACTAAACCAAGGAAGGTCCAGGACCCAAGGGGAGCTCTGCACCCAGGCAGCTGGACTCTGTTTGCTAAGGCCCTTGTTCCTGCTGTTCCAGTGATCAGCGTGAGCCGCCCACTGGATTACGAGCAGATACCCAATGGACTGATATACCTAACAGTCATGGCCAAGGATGCTGGCAGCCCTCCGCTCTACAGCACCGTCCCTGTCACCATTGAGGTGTTTGTAAGTATCCACGGACACTAGCCTTACATTTCCAGGGTGAGGGGTGGGGAATGCTTCTTGGAGGCCTCACCTCTGGCTGGTGGGAAAGGACTGTGTCCCCACGGTTGCAACCGTCCTAAATCCTGCTCCCAGCACGTTGTGCCATTGCTTCAGCTGTCGAGGCACCTGCACGCGTGGCCAGAGAGACCCAGGGCCCTGGAGCTCAGTGAGAGATGAATGGCCCTGCTTTGGCTCTGCATGAAGCCCTGTGATCCGCTCTGGAAAGCAAGGATGGGGAGACAGAGGGAGATGGTGGACGACCCCTTCCTCAGAAGCCACATTCCATGGAGTCCAAGGGAATGATGGGAAGGTCGCTGTTCCTCTTCCCTGTCCCTCTTTGTCCCTCTCTTCCTTTATCCCTCCCCTCTCTCTCTCTCTGGTTCTCTGGATATAGAAAGGGGCCTGAGCGCAATCCGCCGCCTGTCTGACATGAATATCAAACACACCTCAGCGCTTTCCTGTCTGAAATTATCAGCGCCCGAATCCATCTCCTCACTGGCTCATTTGCCATGTGCCGCTCCCCCGGCCACACTGGGGACACAGCACAGCATGGTCTGACAGCAGGGCCCACAGGTCTTCTCCTGGGACCCCACCCCCCAACACGCACCTGAGCACGCACTGGCCTGGCCCCTCCCTGTTTGCAACAGAGGGTGGGTGAGCGTGGGTGGGATTGCTAGCCCTCTGGAGAATTCAATCAGGCTATCAGCTGGGACATACCGGTTGGGGGGTGCGTGGAATACCAGCTCGGGAAGCTCCCCACAGCAGGCTTGCAGCTGACCTTCCTGTCACAGCCAGCTCCAGGCAGCCTCTGGGGCAGCCTCATACCAGCCCTTTAATCAGCCTGAGGCTGGGACCAGCTTCCTAGCAGTCAAGTCTCGTCAGGACAGGAGACGCTACTTCCTGAGTGGCCAGGGTGGAGTTGAGGTGATGAGAACTCTCAGTGGTGCATGAGAAAGCTCCCCGGGGCGGACACATGGGAACAGGATGCTGGGGTGTCTGGGAAGGGGGTCTATACAGAGATAGGGACAGCTCAGGGGCCTTCAGAGGGTCAGGATTTTACCTCAGAGAATGGCAAAGGAGAAGCGGGGTCTCATGGAGGTCCCATAACACTGGCTGATCTTGAACCCACAACCTTCTGCCTTAACCCAGCAGGGTAGCACCAAAGAGCCAGAATGTGCCCCAGTAGTGATGATCCTGTCTAGTGCTCATCACATGACCTGACCCTGACCATGCCTCCCAGCCTGGCCTCAGTTTCCCCATCTTGATCATAATCACCACCCCGGCCCTCCTCAGAGTCACACGTTGACCCACATTGACCTTTGACCCACCCAGGCTTCTCTTCCACCCACCACCCCCTGCTGTGCATTCTGTCTGCATGTGAGGCACATGAAGCGTGGGGAATGGAAAGGAGTGACAGATACCTGGCGCCACATCCCCAAGTGACATGAAATGACGGAGAAGCACAGCTCTTCCTGAGGGTGTGGGACTTAGAACCTGCCTCCACTACCCACTGTATGTCCTGGGCTTCTCGCCGCTCCGTTTTCTCATCCGCACATGGAGACAATCATGGTGCCCGTCTCTGTGTTACCATGAGATGGGCTTGAGCCCACACAGGCAGCCCCTGGCATGTTGCCCATCATCACAGATGGCAGGACAGACACTTGTCCTGCCAACAGCGGCATGCCCAGCCTGCCCTGGAGAGTAGGGGCATGCTGAGCAGGACCCTCTAGGCTTTGGGACAGGCAGGGAGCTAGGAGGGGTAAGGGTGGTGGGGGGGTGGGGGGGTCCTAGTTTCATTCTGCTGCTTTGATAGAACAAAAGGAAGCCTTCCTGGTGAGGAAAGGGTTTATCTGACTTACACTTCCAGGTCACAGTCCATCACTGAGAGGAAGTCAAGGCAGGAAATTATGCAGAAACTATGAAGAAGCACTGCATGTTAGCTTATTCTCTCTCTTTCTCTCTCTCTCTCTCTTAGTTTTTCAAGACAGGGTTTCCCTGTGTAACAGTCCTCATGTTCCTGGTACTCATTCTGTAGCCCAGGCCGGCCTCGATCTCACAGAGATCTCTCTGCCTCTGCCTCACAAGTTCCAGGACTAAAGGCGTGTGCCACCACTGCCAGGCCTTCGCTAGCTTTTTTATACAGCCCAGGCCCACCTGCCTAGGGCTGGTGCCACCCACAATCAGCTGGGCCATCTCCATATCAACCGTGGATCAAGACAGTCTCTCTGACGTGGCCACAGGCTGGTCTCTTGACTGAGACACCAACAGTTGACTCCAGGCTGTGCCCAGCTGACATTTGACACTCATTAGAACAAGGGAGGTTAGGAAGGCGGGTTAAAGAGGTAGGCACAGTCAGCCATGTGAAAAGTGAACTGCCCCCAGGCTCCACCATGGAGCCACGGCTTCCTGTCGCACAGTTTCTTCTACGCCCTTGGCAGAGGAAGCCGAGGAGAGAAGTGGAGAGAAATGCCCCTGCTTCCTTATGCTTACCAGTGACCGAGCTGGAAGTGAACCCCTTTCTGTCCATAATCACAGGCTGGGAAGATTAAGGCACATGTGACCGAGCCCAGTACTCTTCAGAGACCTCACCTCTACCCCATGAATAGGATTAACTGAGCCAGTGGTGTCTTATCAAATAAAGTGTGGTTCTTAGAGCTCATGCCTGTAACCGGAAAAGCTGAGGCAGGAGGATAGTCATGTGTCAAGACCAGCCTGCACTATATAGTCAATTCCAGGCTAGCCTGGGCTATAAATTGATAGCCTATCTCAATAAACCAAAACAGAGTAACCAAAGCGCAGTTCTCACCTAGTGGTCCTGATGAGGGCCAAAACTCTGCCCTCTTGTGACCCCCTGCTGGGGTGGACTGTGGACTGTGGACTGTTGCTGCTTCCTGTTAAGGGGCCACACTAGGCAACACCCGGCTAACCCAGACTCTACTCTGCTGTCTGGGACTCATTGAAAAGACCTGACATGGCCTCTTCTCTTCTTGCCTCAGCCCCTCCTGGGGACCGGAGCAAACAGGAAGTGGAAGGCCAAGAGCTGGGCTAGCCTTTTCCCATGCTGAAATGAAAGTTTGAGTAACAGCCTTCCTGCCCCAATCCCAGGCAGGAGACGCTCCATGTTGGGGGTGAGAGCAAGCTCCACCACTCTCCATTAGGCAAGCTAGTGAGCCCCAACTGAAAAGAGGGGACCCCCTCTTTCACATCCCTCTGGTACTGTCAGCAGAGCCCTCAGAGGTCTTCACTTCCCTTGAGTCTACCCCAGCCATCTGACAACGGGAGCAGCCGACAACAAAGACAGGTGCCCCCGTGGCTCTGAGAGAACAGGCTCCAGCTCCCAGGCAGGGCGTTTGGACAGCGTAGTCACTCGTGTCTAAGGACCACACTTGAAAAGGTCACCGCCTTCGGCTAGATTTTGCACGTGGGTGATTCTTAAGTAGCTGTCACTCTGCTAAGCTGCCTCCTCCCTTGGCCAAAAGGATTTTCTCTTGCCTGGGAAAAAAAAAAAATAACCGAAACAGCTTTCATTGAATAATTGGCGGAGGTCTTCCCACGCAGGCTTCCATGGGGAGAGGCGATGGAACACCTTCAGGCTTGGGCAAGGAGGGGCAGGTGAGAGGAGCCAGGTGATTCCTTCTCGTCTGCTGCTTGTTGGTTTTTAATAAAGAAGTCAAACTCGGTTTGTAGATTTCCCATTAGGGGACAATAAGCTTTTATAGAGGGAGCCACTGAATTAGAACTAATAGCGAGCGCAGCGCCAGAATCCGGGGAAATATCACCGCTAATAAGTTTCTGCCTCGTGCTCTGTCGCTGACATTCTCGGCATTGCTCAATGCAGCCGAGCAGAAGTCTCACTGTATGTGTGCACCCAGAGCACTTGAGCCCTCGCCAGGAGCCTGGGTGACTCCCAAGTGGCCTGTGGGGGACACTGGATGTCAGGAGAGCCTCGAGGCTCCCAGTTTTTTGGGGAAGAGAGTGAACCTGTATGCAGGACAGAGTAGTAAACGGACTTGGGAGACACTGAGTTCCCATTGATTCTGGGAACTCACCATGCAGCAGGCGGAGGTTGTCTATAGTCCCAAGGAGAGGAGAGCCAGGCAGCTTTGTCCCCTCCCTCCCTGGCTCGCTCATGCGGAAGGAACTGTAGCAGAAGAGTTCAGAAAGTGTCCCCACACCTCCCTCCCCATTCCCTGAGCTCTGAGGAGCTAGTCGTGGGACCCACTGAACATTGCGATGGGGGCAGTGGAGTGGGAGAGGGGCACTCAGCCAGCTCCTGGGCTTCTCGCCGCTCTGTTGAGCTGAGGAGGGAAGCATGGAGCCAAGGGAACTAGAAAGTCTTCAGTGAAGAGGGCCACTGGGAGGAATTCCTGGTGAGCGATTGCAGAAGTTGCTGGCTATGGTGAGAGTCTCAAAGGCAGGAAGGCTCACTCCTCTGATGGAAGAGATTAGGGAGCTGGTGGAGGAGCTGTGGGCTGCACCTGGCTCTGGTTCCCACCACAGCAGGGCTCATTCCTACCTGGTCCAGCCCCGCAGCCAGGCTTCCACCCCCATCCCTAGCCACCACAGGGTGGGCCAGAGGAAGACATGCTCTAGAACTGGCAGGTGCCATGCTGCAGGCCAGGTGGGGACAGGGGGTGAGAAACTGGTGTTCATGTGTGATCTGGGTGTCTGTCTAACCCCATTTACAGCCAGCCCAGGGCTGGAGCCTCAACTCTGGGAATAGCCTCAACACTGCCCACCCCTGCACACTTTGGCATCTTTGGTGTAGACTTGTCTTTCCCCCTCACTTTTTGATTTTAATTTTTTTTTATGTGAATGGGTGTGTTGCCTGCATGAATGTCCGTGTACCACATGTGTGCCTAGTGCCTGCAGAGGCCAGGAAAAGGCATCTGCTTCACTGGAACAGAAGTTATAGATAGTTGTGATGCTGGGATTGAAGCTGGGTCTTCTGGAAGAGCAGCCAGTGCTCTTAACCACTGAACCATCTCTCCAACCCTTTCCCTTCATCTTAGCAGAGTTTCTAGACCCTTTCTCTATGTCTTGACTCACCTGGGAGGGAGGGTCAAGTGGATGCTGCATGGGAGCATGGGGACTCGGCTTCTGGAGCAACCTTGGAGTGTAGCTCGAAGGCGGGAGACTAGGAGCTGTGGGCGAGCTGACTGCTGTCTTATTTAGTACCTGTCTCTGGATCCCATATTATTCCTTTTCAACCCTTGCATGTTTTGCCAATGACTGTCCAATTTCCTTCAACATGATCTGGCCTTCACAATCCCTAGCCACTGGTGACGCATAGAGGCCAGAGGCCCACAGGGCCAGCCAGCCCATACAGACCCCTTGGTTCCCACTTTGGACAGTTGGCCAGGTACCTCCGAGACACACTGATTGATCTGTGTGCTTCCCTTCCAGGATGAGAATGACAACCCCCCTACCTTCAGCAAGCCTGCCTACTTCGTTTCTGTGGTGGAGAACATCATGGCAGGTATTGTTGGGGCCAGGGCAAAAAGCCCGTAAACAGGCGGCTGAAGCCTTGGTACATGCATTTGCAAGACCTACAGCCTTGTCAACTTCCTAGGCCTCTATGACAAATCAGGCAGTCATTGGGGACATCTGGTTATTGCTACTACCGTGTGCAGAGCCTCCATTGGGCACTGGGTCGTGTTCCCCTGCAGCCAGTTCAGCGGGACGAGAATAACAGATGATTAATTATACAGTCTTGAAAGAATCTAAGTTCGGAAACTTTATACTATGAGGCAGGTTCCAGGAGCCATGACTTTTGGTGGGGCGATTTTGAAGGGTGGTCTTGAAGGATTTTCTTTTTTTTTTTAATTTATATATTTATTTATTAAAGATTTCTGTCTCTTCCCCACCGCCGCCTCCCATTTCCCTCCCCCTCCCCCAATCAAGTCCCCCTCCCTCATCAACCCAAAGAGCAATCCATCAACCCAAAGAGCAATCAGGGTTTCCTGCCCTGTGGGAAGTCCAAGGACCACCCACCTCCATCCAGGTCTAGTAAGGTGACCGCGAGGGGTGCACTCACACACTGAGACAATGGGGGTGTTCTATCAGGAACTCACCAAGGCCAGCTGGCCTGGGTCTGAAAAAAGCCCGGGATAAAACCGGTCTCGTTGAAGGATTTTCTATATGAGCCTAAGAATGGAAGACACAGCGTGAGCCAGTGCCACAAGCTCCATGTGTGGGTTCCTTTCCTTGGGGGGGCAGGCTGACAGCTTCCCCTTCCCCTCCAAGTGTGCTCTCTTCGGGGGACATGCACACCACAGAGATTTCTGAGCAGTGATGTAGAAGAGGGGATGTCCTGAGTATCCAGGACATCTGAACGTAGAGACAGTTGAAATCGATATAGCTGGAGCTGGGGGTGCCTTTCCATGTATCAGGATCTAAGCAGAACCTCCAGGTATCTCTCTAGTGTCTGAGGATGAGTGAGTTGGGTGGCAAGCTGTGCCCATCCCACATTCCTGTATCCAGCATCCCCTAAAGATTATCCCTGCTAAAGGCCAGGAGGATAAAGCCCTATCCTCCTAGGCATTTGGCAAAGGTCTTTGAATATGACGCCAACTCTCTTCCTAACTCCATGTCCCTGGAACCAAAGAGCACACCTGAAGCCCTGGCCTCTGGGAAGGGGTCTGACTTATCCGTCCTCTTTATGAAGACTCCTAGTCCCAGCTGCCACCAGTACCTGGCACCTGTATACTTCTCTCAGGGAGCATTCCTGGAAGCCCCACAGGTAGACCCCTGCAGAGGAAGCGGCTGAGGGACTCTGGGGGCCACAGAGGTTTTACCCAACCTCTGACTGCTACCTAGAGCAGGAGGGTGCTGCAGCCCAAAGCCTAGGTGAGCATACCCTTAGGACAAGTCACCTGTGGGGTCTGACCAGGACTGCGGGGATAGTCAACCCCTCTCTAAACCCAGGATCCTAGGTAGATGGAAAGGGATTGAAAGGCAAAGACCTTCACTGGACATTAACAAGAAAATATAGTCTTGTATAAATTCTGCTATGAAAAAGATTTTTAAAAAGGACAAAAATTGGGTATAGTAAACGTAGAATAATTTAATTGGGCACTTGGTTTCTTTGAAAGCTGGTAGATCTGGGTGGGTTTGATCCACAGGACAGCCGGGCAAGGTCAGGAGGCAGCTTGAGCTGTTAGAGGCTGGGTCATGGGTCTGGGGGAGGAGAGGACCCTATCCCAGAACCCATCTCACCTCTGTGGAGACTCAGCGCTGGGACACACCATCTATCATGCTCTCCAGTTCCTTGAGGCTTGGCCACTAGAGGGTCTGGGATGTGACTCCAGGGATTGGGGGTCAGAAGAGCAACCTCCTACCTCTTTGTCGTCCTAAAGGAGCCACAGTGCTGTTCCTAAATGCCACGGACCTGGACCGGTCACGGGAGTACGGGCAGGAATCCATCATCTACTCACTGGAAGGGTCCTCACAGTTCCGCATCAATGCCCGCTCTGGTGAGCCCCCACCCTGAGACCTGCTGCTCTTCCTGGGCCAGTCAGGGATCACGGTCTCTTCCCATGCTGCTAAGAGCAAGTAGGCTTTGATTTTACCTCTGAAATATTCACTTTGGTGTTAATCACACATCTTAACCTGAAGCAATATCACCATAAACATGTCCACCAAACCTTGCCTCGCAAGAGTAAAGAGTGTCTAGAGTTGTTTGTTTTCCAAATCTTGGGGTCCAGGTCAGCTGAATGGGCATGCAGATCACTTTCTCCTAGGGGCTCATTTCTGTAAGTTTACGGGAACTCTAGATGCCAACAGGTTTATCCTAGACTAGCCGTGACTCAGAACAGTGGGAACATACCACAGTGTGGGCAGATGTTCAGTGGATAGCCTTTCATATGACAATTCTAAACCCAGGTTCCTTCCATGTTGTGGCTCCAAGTTCACTGAAAAAGTAGAAAGCATACAAGGGACATTGTACAAGGTGACTCTGACAGGCTAGTCCCTAAAGGTGAATCTGTCATCCTCACATACAAGCAGGCAGGGGGTACCTCACTGCTATAAAGCCTGGGAGCAGAGTCCCTGCCTAGTGGTCACCCCTCAGCAACAGGTTACCCTGTGTATGGAGCAAGAACTCCAGGGATATTGCCATCCCTGCCACAGGTGGTCAGTAGCCCAGCAGGACCTTCTGTTGTCCATGACTCCTGGATCAAGGTTGGCCTTACAACTCCTTTGTTCCCTTATTCTCAAAGCTCTGGAAGCAGATGGCTGTTGTTGCTGTGTACAGGGACAAGGATAGGAGTCACATGAGTCTCTCCTTCCACCCTGGGCCTTCCTTCTACTCCCAGAACATCTTCCTTGGCAAACCACATTTCTAGAAGCAACAGTCATGCCTCAGAATCTGCACAGGGTGGGTTTCATGAGTCCCAGGTACAGCAAAGTGTTGCCCTCCTTCAGGGAAAAATGGTACAGGGTTTGCATACAGTCCACACATACCCTCGGCACCCTTAAGTCATCTCAGTCACTAAGAACACCACATATGATGTACATGCTGTGTAAAAAGCCAGCACAGGGCTGGAGCGATGTCATCATGATGAAGCGCTTGCTGTGCCATGTGAGAATGTAGGTTCACATCCCCAGAACCCACAAAGAGCCAGATGCAATAACGTGTGTTTGTAGGCTTAGTGCTCCTGCTTGGAGATTGTAGGCAAAGACTGGAAAAAGTAGTTTATGGATGAGCCAGCCTGGGCTACACAGCGGCAAACTAGAGGTCTTGTCTCAAACAAGGTTGCAAGTCAGGACTGACACCCAAAGTTGCTCTCTCCACAAGTTTGCGGTGGGACATGCACAACTGCATTTGAGTGTACACGTGTGTGTGCTCGTGCGTGCGTGCACGCGTACACACACACACACACACACACACACACCTGTCCCAGACCTAGAGATACCTCAGTTGGCAGAGTGCCTGCCTATTACACATGAAGCCTTGGGTTCCGTTCCAGGTAGGTGGCACGGGCCTGTAATCTAGCACTCAGGAGGTAGAGGCAGGAAGATCAGAGTTCAAAGTCATCCTCAGCTACATAGCAAGCCCCAGGCCACCCTAGCCACATGAACAAACAAACAAACAAGCAAACTGTGACACCATATGGTGTGAAGAATTGTGACAAGAAAAAAGAGTCCCTACATGCTCGATCCAGACGCGATTTTTAAAGTGTTTTTGATCCACAGAGAGTTTAATCTGCAGATATGGAACCTACAGATAGTATCTCAGCACCGTTTATTTTTTTATTGATTTTATTGAGCTATACCTTTTTCTCTGCTCCCCTCCCTTCCTCTCCCCTCCCCTTCTACCCTCTCCCATGGTCTCCATGCTCCCAATTTACCCAGGAGATCTTGTCTTTCTCTACTTCCCATGTAGATTAGATCCATGTTTGTCTCTCTTAGGGTCCTCCTTGTTGTCTAGGTTCTCTGGGGTTGTGATCAGCACCATTTATTAGCCAACTGTCCAGCACGAGCCCATTTCACTTCTGGCATCACCCCCAGATTTTCCAGATAAGGAAACTGAGGCAGAGCCTAGCTAAAAATTTGACTGAGGTCTCTCAGTGCTTGACCAGCTGACCCCAGAGCTCAAATGTTAACTTTTGGGGTCCATAGAGCTGTATTTGAACTATATCTTGCCACCCATCCACAACCCACGGCAGGTTGGAGACTCCAGCTCCTCCCTAGGGCCTACAGTGAGGACCCTGGCATTTTCTGCTGCCTTAGCATGTGCTCTCCCCAAAGGTGGGAACGTTTTCCCCTGAGGTTCTTGGTCGTATTAGCCAGGCCTGCTGCACAGTGGTGGCATCAATTGAGTCTAATTTCCCAGATGTGAAAGGCCATCTATCATGAATACAAGTTCATGTTTAAAACTTTGGACAGATTAAATTGTTCCTAGCCCTACCCATTCATTAACTGATACCACCCAGTGAGGAGCGTGGCTCCCTTGGCAGACCTTAGCCAGTCTATGGTCTCTGGCTATGGCACCTTCATTGCCTTGTCCTCCAACCCTGGCTCCCTGCTCAACGTGACTGTGTCAGGGAGGGAAATAGCAGTGTGAGGGGGGCCTTACGGAACCAGCTATCGATGCCCTTGTTTTATGATAGAAGGAAACCAAGCACAGAGATGTTAAGTCGCTTGCCCCATGTCACACAGCTCAGACAATAGGAACAAAAAGATGGGTACCACGTAAATCCCCACCTGCCTTGGGAAACTCTTTCAGGCTGTTGCATCAGTTCTCAACCTGTGGGTCGGGACCCCTTCAGAGGTCAAGTATCAGATACCCTCCATATCAGATGTTTACGTTACAATTCATAGCAGTAGCAAAATTATAGTTTTGAAGTAGCAACTAAATAATTTCATGGTTGGGGGGGGGGTGGTCACCACAGCATGAGGAACCATATTAAAGGGTCACAGCATCAGGAAGGTTGAGAACCACTGGTCTACCGGAAATGACCAGTTTCTGAACAGTGGGAGTTTCACCTCTAGTTCCTTTTGAAACAGGGTCCCTCACTGAACCTGGGAACCTGGAGCTCACTGATTCAGCCACCCTGACTGGCCAGTGAGCTCCCAGGATCCTCCTGTCTCTGCCTTCCCCAAAGCTTTGGGGTTCCAAAGACTTGCCGCAATGCCAGGCTTTAACATGGGTCCTGGGGATTAAACTCGGGTTGTCAGGCTTGGGCGGCAGTTACTTCACCGATGGAGCCATTCCCTAGCCCTACCCTCTGTCTTTGCAACAGCTCTGACCGGAAGGCGGAAGGCGTTTGAGCGCCTTCTGACAAATGAGAAAGAAACTGAGTCTCAAAGAGGTTCATTCTCCTCCCCGGGATACCCATCCCAGGAAGGCTCTAAGAGAATTCAAATCTGGGTCTTTGTTCTCAAAGCAGAAGCCATCCCCTGCAGCGCAGTCAGCTGGGCGTGGCCAGGTCCTAATGATGTGCTCGGATCTGCTGGTTCACAGCTGCTCCAGGAATGCCATAGTCAAGGCCATGGAGTTAGTGACTTGGTATGACTCTGGGGGGAGTATTTGTACCACTGAAATCAATAAGTGGCTTCTGTTTTCTTTGGGGAGCCATTTGTCAAACACTTGCTAATATACGATTACCAATGGGCTGGGAGATGGACGACTCAGTGGGTCAAGTACTTGTCGCACAGCGTGAGGACCTGAGTTCAATCCCCAGAACCAACATAAAAATGCCAGGCACGGTGGCATGTGCTTGTCATCCCAGCACTGGGGGGACAGAGACAAATGGATCCTTGGGGATCACTGGCCACCCAGCCTAGTCTAACCAGTCCCGTGTCTCCATGGGAGATCCTGCTTCTAAACCAAGGTGGACGGGGATGCAGCATTCAAGTCTGTCATTTAGTATCGTCACCATGAGAACACACACATATGTACGTACACACCAAAAGAAAATAAAAGGCTACCAAGGTGGCATCGGTGTCCCAGTGATGCCAGAGAACAAAGAAAGGCCAAAAGCAACTGACCAAAATTGTAGTTTATTTTGAATGGGTCTGTTAATAACTTGTTTGCACACTATAAAAAAAAATACAGATGATATTATTAGACCATGGGTGGGGTAACTGGGAAAGTATATCATGAATGTTGGCTTGCACACTGTAGGTTTGCATGCCCACTCCTGAGCTACGAGCTAAACCCCGTGGGACCTCCAGCCTGGGCATCTCCCTCCTGCCACTGGTCCCGGTGGCTTTCTCCCTCCCTGGAGCTCTTCTGGGGTTTGCATGACATTGGCTAAATGACCCCCCACAATGGCCCTGCTGTAAAATTGTCCTGTCATAGTTTCCTTCCAGGCAGTTGTGGAAACTGAGGCACAGGAGACTGAAGTGATGAGACTGAGCTGATAAAGCCAGAAAAAAATAACGTCCAACCTAAGGCACAGGTGTCCTATGAATGAGTCTGGGCCTAAGTGGCCCTCCTACTCTGTGAGGCCCTGCCCCACACCTGCAGAGCTGCCCCGTTGAGGGGTACTGTTGCCCAGCTCTTGGGTCCCCTCTAAAACATAAGTGTTCTGCCCTCTCAGGCACACAGATGGGCCCACTGCAGTTGCAGAGGCCATGGCCATGTCTACTTCCTTCTTCCTGTCCCCCAACACCCCATCCCCCACACCTACACACCTTGTCACTCATCTCCCTCTCTGTCCAATAGGAGAAATCACCACCACATCTCTGCTGGACCGAGAGACCAAATCTGAATACATCCTCATTGTGCGGGCCGTGGATGGGGGCGTGGGCCACAACCAGAAAACTGGCATTGCCACCGTGAGTACTTCCCTTTCCTGCTGGCCAGGGCCTTCCTCCCTGCTCGCCTTCAGGTTGCCTCAGGCCTCTGTATACCATGCCACTCACTAGCCCTCAGGGGAGGCCCAGAAGCCCATCAAGGCCTCCACACTATAAAGGAGCCTCAAGGAGGAGGGAGAAATTTGGCAGGGGTGGGGGGCTAAGTGAGTTTCTGGTGGCAGAAGAGATGCTGGAGAAAGTGAGAGGCACAGGGGGCCCCTAGGAGAGGAAGAATGGCAGTGGTGACCCATTGCTCTAGCCACATCTTCCCCCCTTCCTCATGCCTGCCTTGGGCTCGTCCTGGAAGCCCCTCTCTTCACCTTGCCCCATGGTCCTCACCCACACTGGGAAGCTGCCCCATTCTCTCCAGGCCAGAGGATCTGGGCTGGAGTTGGCATCACTTGGTTGGAGCTGTTACAGCAAGCCCTACCATGTGCACCCCTGTAGAGGCCAGCCCTGCTCATAGGAACCCCAGTCCAGCCCGTAAATAATTTACTGGTGGCACGTGAGCACAGAAATCCCTTGGTTTGTGGCTGAGCCTGGGGGGGGCTCAAGGGATTCTCTCAGATCTCCGACTGGGTGTCACCTTCATTGAGACCAGGTGGGTGAATTCATTCTCTGCCCCATCGTGGGACAGCACCTAAGCCTCCTCCTCCTCAGGCAGAGACCTAGGTCCACTTTGTCCCTGACAATCTAGGCTCTCCTTGAAACACCCAGAATGACAGAGCTATTAGAACTAAGACCCTTGAGTGCCCAAACCCTGCCCTTGCCCTCGTTGGCCTCAGCGGACCACAGCACTCCCTGTGGCCCACAGGTGAACGTCACCCTCCTGGACATCAATGACAACCACCCTACCTGGAAGGATGCTCCCTACCACATCAACCTGGTGGAGATGACCCCTCCGGACTCTGATGTGACCACGGTAAGGAGAGACACAGCATGCTCCAGGATGGATGCATTCCTACCGTGATCCCCTGGCCTGCCACAGGGACTCCTGAGCTTGGGGTTTCATTCTGAGCCAGCTCATGTCCTTTACTATCAAGTCTGCAACCATTGGCCTGGTTAGCTCTGGCCCTTGTCAGCTCCCGGGGCTGCCTCAGCAGGGGGTTGAAGCTCACCCCAGGGAATCCTCTGGCAGAGGATGCCAGGCATTCACCTGTCTGTCCTGTGTGTAGCTGCTGTGTTCAGCATATGACTTAAAGTGGGAAAAGGTAACATACCCAGAGACACTGGGCCCCAGAATAGAATCTGCTTTGCAAGAACAGCTGAAGACCGGCAGAGCCTATTCCCCCCTACACACCGCTTGCTCTACCCAACACTCAGATTCACAGTTATAAGTCTTTCTTCCCTCCACCTCTGAACTCCATTTTAACCTCATCTAGGAAGGCTGGTCCCCAAATGTCTAACCAGCTGCCACCCAGCCAGTCCTTCATCGGACATGAATTCTGACAGTTCTCTGTAGCTCTGTTGATTGAACACCTGTCCCATCCTACACGACCCCAAGGGTGCCTCATGAATTCTCTCTCATCTTTGTGATACCCTCCCCTGGCAGCAGGATTCAGAGCTCAAGGCCCTGGAGCTAGTAAGAGATGGTGCCAGGACTTGAATTCAAGCCTGAAGGCTTTTCAATGAGGACTTAGAAACAACCCAATCCAGCCCCTGTCCTTGTGTGGGCTCACAGAGGCCCAGGTCCCGAAGAACTGGAGAGTCAGGTAGACTGGGGCAGGGTCAGTAACCTTCTCATCAGGCTCTGAGAACCTACCCCACCTACACACAGGTGCCTGGGGCCCTGGCTCACTCTTCAGTGTTCACACTCCTCACTAGCTAGAGCCTGAAGTGCCAAGGTCTATCTGGACCAGGTGGGGAGGACGGAAAACTGGAGAGAAGAACAGAGAGGGAAAAGGAGTGTGGTCATCACCTACCTAGTGCTTCCCCCTGAGCAAGATCGCGTCCCCTCCCAGAGAATCCAACAGCAAGGTAGGGTGGGTGGTTTAGAATAAATGAATGGGTTTTCAAAGCTCGACTGCCAGGGCTACAGTTAGAAACCTCTAGCTGGGTTCTCACATGGGCCTCTCAGGCTCTGGGTCCTGATGGCACTCTCTGCTGCCACCTTGTGGGCACCCTGGTGCTGGCTTGAAACTACCTCCTTGGAGTTCTCAACTTGGGATCCCAAGAGTTGCTGTGGAATGCCCACCTCTGAACACCTGTCTGTCCTTGTGTTTCTGGGAAGTTCCCCCTGAAGGAAATTGAGAGGCAAGTGAGGGGAGGTAGCTCTAGGGGTGGACTGCAGAAACCTTCAGTGAGCATGGGCTTTGTGCTAGGCCCATGTTATTCTCAGCTCAGACTCACCACTGGCTCCCATCTTACAACAGTGTAAAAGCAAGGGCCAGGCTGGAGAGATAGCTTGGTGGTGAGAGTACCTGCTTTGTGAGCATGAAGACCCAAGTTCAAATCCCAATACTCATAAAAAATCTGGGTGTGGCTTTATACTCACATGCCTGTAACCCCAGCACTGTGACAGCTAGATACAGAATTGCAAGAGCCTGCTGGCCATCAGCCCAGCTCTAACTCCAGTGAAAAACCCCTGTCTTAGGGGAACATGGCAGAGAGTGACAGAGCAGGACAAATATCTTACACACACATACACACACACACACACACACACACACACACAGGTATGTGCACACACATACCTGGAGCCTACAGATCCGTCCATGGTTACCTTGAACAGACAGACGTGTATGTCCCCAGACAGCATAACAGATAGAGATGCAGCCCCAAGGTCCTCAGGAAGAAGAGAGTAAAATCAAAATTAAAAACTTGTTATATTAAATAGCTGCCAAACGTAATATGCAGCTTTTATAATTAAGAAATGTAGGGTTTGTAGACATTTAATTACATGGAAAGATGAATTCTAGGTTAGCTTCTCTAGAATTAAGAGTGTTCCAGACTTGGTAGAATACCCAGCTGTATATGAAGCCAAGAAATCAAGTGGCTTATATGTTACTCAAGTTGGTCATAGAAGAGTCATTGCAAGAGGAAATCACCATAGCAATTCTTTAAGTTTTGTACCCCTGAAACATACCTGTGGGTGTACAGCAATTCCTTTAGGAAGGCCCCAGCGCCTTGGGTCTCCTGTCATTCACACTGCATCCTCCAGGCATTCCTGGCCCACGGGATTCCAGGGATCTCCTGTCTCCGCATCCATCTTGCCCTGAGAGGGCCGGCATCACAAGCTTTGGCTTGCAGCATTTATGTGGGTTTATCTGAGTATCTGAACTTGGGTCATCAGGCTTGAATGGTGACTGCTTTGCCTGCCGGGCCATCACCCCAGCCCCCAGTGTCAGGTTGTGCTTAGTCAGGATGCCGGAAGCCCTAGGACCTGGCAGCTGCCACTCTCAGCAGTTGCCTCTCCCTGCAGTCTCCTGGTCAGGGTCACTGTGGGGCAGAGTGAGGCAGATCGTAGCTAAGCAGTAGATCTCAGATACTTGCGGTTTGCTGTGCCCAGCCACTGGGTTGGTGAGGTTTGCCTCATCCCCACTCACCCTCCAGCTCTGCACCTGGGCTGGTTCTTCCTCATCTGGGCTGGAGAATCCGTTGGTGGCCTGGGACCCTCCCAGGGGCCATTTAACACAAGCACCAGCCACGGCTCCAGAAGCCCAACTTGATAAAAACTAAGGATTTTTCAGAGTCCGTGGCAGATGAACTTGTGCCCGTGTGTTCCTTTGCTCAGTGCCCTCGGAGCCAGCAGAGTGTGTGCCTCTCTGGGCCTCAGTATGCAGGACATGTGGGCTCCGGGGGTCTTCCCGATGCCTCTCTCATCACCCCTTCCCCCTGCAATGAGCTTGGGCCCCACTCTCCCCGTTGCCTCTGTGGCCTCCTTCAAGGACCTACTGATGGGCATTGATTTAGAGCCTTTCAACGCCCTCCAGCAAAATAAAGAAGAGGGAGAGAGAGAATTATTCCCCGTCAGGTGAGAGAAAAATGACGAGCGTGGAACGGGAAATAAATGAGGGGAAGTGGCAGGAGCCCACGGGTCTTAGCCTCTGCCCTCTCCCAGGCTCCCCTACCCACCCTGTGACCAGAGAGTGGCCGAGAGGCCAAGGCCTGTGCCTAATCCCAACCAGAGCATGGGGTGGTCACCTGGACATCCTCTGCAGGGGAGTGTCTTCCTCACTGTGAAACTGGCCTCCCATTCTGATGTGGGTTGTTTTGGCTCCAAGTCTGGGGAATCCAAGGGGAAAAGGAAATGGGGATAAAGAGGCCTGTCCCTCCTGGAACTGTAGACACACACACAAACACAAGGGACACTTGCTTTCCCTGTCCCTTGGCAACTCCATGCAGCCTGGCTTGGATTATGCCTGGAATGAACTGTCCCCTATTGTAAAACAGGATGGAGGGGCCCCATTATGGGGACTGGAGACAAGAGGTGGTATGGTCACAAGACAGTGAAAGAATCAAGGACAGGAAGGTGGGGACCCCTTGTCACCCCTCTGCTACCACAGGGCTGGGGAGAGTGCAGGGTAAGGTGAGTCCGGTATGAGATGCCCATGCTGAAGATCTCACTGGAAAAGGAATTGCCCTGTAAGCCTCTCTCCCTGGCTCCCAGAGATGGCAACATGTGGAGCCCCTGGCCAGATATCTATCTGTTCTGGTCTAGTGACCCCAGAGACACCTCGGCTGGGGATTAAGCCAGAGCGGGGACAAATTCTGCTGCCAGAGCATAAAAGCTCATACCAAGTGAGACGGAGGAGCTGACCAGCCCTGGCTGTCATTGCCCCCGTGTCGTGAAGTTAATGACATTGTCCTGATGCAGCCCCTGGGACTACAGCCATCCTTTCTCCCTCCCCACCCCCATTCCACCACGATCCTGTCCACCTCTGATGTCGCCATGGTTCTGCAACACAGAGGGATGGTGGATTGAGGGATGAGAGCCATTGCTGCCTCAGGACTGTGGGAGACTCCCAGGGAGCTAACAAGGTTACCCCAAGGCTGGTGCTATGTGACCTTGAGTCTGGCTCACGCATCTCTAGGCTATTTTTCCCTCCAAACTGGGACTCAGCTAATGGCTCCCTGCCCAGGCCTTGGTGTCACAGAAGCCCAGTGCTTTTCAAATCCTCCACCATCAGGAGTGCTGGAGGGAGAGCGAAAGGGCCTTGTGATAACAGACCCAGATTCCACAACTCAAATCCTCCCCAAAGCTCAACAAAGGTTTCCAGCCTTTCCCTGCTCCCAAGCCTAGAACTTCTGATCCCCCTGCTTCCAACTCCTGAGTCCTAGGAAATCAGTGGGTACCACCATCATCAAAGTATGTGGTACTGAGAATGGAACCCAGCCAGGTCTGTGTACACACTAGGCAGGCAGTCTACCGACTGAACCACATCCCCAGCCTCCCTCCCACTTTTATACATGGGGCAGCCAGACTTGAATAAGAAAGGGGGCTTCCATATAGTTGGCTGATGGATGAAGATGCCAGAGAACCAAGATTTTGATACTGATATATCTCATGCCCCTCCCCACTTCCTGTTCCTGTCAAGAGAGCCCACTTCCTGCTCCTGGACCTGGGCCAGGGACTTTGATGTAACTCAGTAAAAGGTCTGTTCCTTCCTGGGCAGGTGGTGGCTGTGGACCCAGATCTGGGGGAGAATGGCACCCTGGTGTACAGCATCCAGCCCCCCAATAAGTTCTATAGTCTGAACAGCACCACAGGCAAGATCCGTACCACCCACGTCATGCTGGACCGCGAGAACCCCGACCCCGTGGAAGCTGAGCTCATGCGCAAGATCATTGTCTCTGTAACAGACTGTACGGACTCCTGCACCCCCACCTCTGAGCTCCCCCATAGGCAGAGGCTCTTGACCTTTGGGGATGCCCCCATGGGTGGTCCTTAGGGGTCCCGGAGCCCACTCAGAAGGGCTATCTCACCACTAAGAATAAATGGTGTATACATCCCAGATGTGACCCTCCCATGGCACCCAGCAGTAGGGAGGGGTTGGGAAGGGACACATGGCTCAAACTCCTCCTTGCAGGGACACCTGGGATGGGAGGGGGTCTGTATATGCCTCTCTTTCTTCATCATTTCTCTCTTACACCCATCTTCCCATCCCTGCCTCCTTCCTCCTTATCCTTCCAGGTGGCAGACCCCCTCTGAAGGCCACCAGCAGCGCCACAGTCTTTGTGAACCTCTTGGATCTCAATGACAATGACCCCACCTTTCAGAACCTGCCTTTTGTGGCTGAGGTTCTGGAGGGCACCCCGGCAGGGGTCTCTGTCTACCAAGTAAGTGTTACTCACTCACCTAGCCCCTGTGTGTGCTCCATGCCAAGCATTTTCGTCAAGGCAAGGGATACCAATCAAGACCCCCAGCAGTATGTAAGCCAAGCAGCCTGAGACCACTGGTGCTGAGATGGTCTGGGAGGCCCCTGGGGACAGAACCTTGAGCTAAGTCTGGAAGAACAGTCAGATTTGGAGAGACAGAGGTACTGTGTCACAGGTGAGGATGAGGAGCAGGATGAAGCAGGAACAGAAATCAGGAGGGTGGATAGAATTCTGGGGATCTGACCCAGAAAGTACCCCAGTATTTGGGGGGTCTGGGCTCAGACTCCAATGCTGCAAGCTTCTAGAACAAACCATCAGACGTGTGGCTCAGCATACCTGTATAAGAGCCCTCACCTCCTGTGAGCCCCCAAGTGACTCTGCATAGAACCGAGAGTCCTCCCACTTGGGAAGGAAGCTTTGAAAAGACTTCCCAACTCCCCAGGGCCCAGGAGAAGTAGGGAGGCCCTGAAGACACTGATTCAGAGGCTGTGATGTCCTACCAGGAACATCTTAGGAACTCTGCAAAAGCTTCACGGTTAAGACTGTGGCCTTTCGAGCTGGGGTGGGACCCGTGGAAGAGTACTTTCCTAGCATGAGTTCCAATCCCAGGCCTCACAAGAAAGGTACTGGAGTCCAAGCCGTATGTGTACACTCAATTCTACCACTATTGCTGTGTGACCCAGAGGACATTCTTCAACCCCTCTGAGCCTCAGATTTTCTCACTTGTGGGCTGGAATAGCTGTAGCGCCTGCCTGGCTATGCTGAGGCTATGCAGCAGGGAACCCACAGCAGCTGTGGAGTTTGTTGTATGTGGTGTGGCTTATGCATGAGACAGTGGTATCACTTGTCCCCATTCCAAGAAGGCAGGGCTGTTTCTTAGGACACCAGAGTACAAGACCTTGGCCATGCCTACTGGCTCTCTGTGCCTGCCCTCTAAGAGACTGATGAGGTGTTTGATCCCTGAAAAATAGGGACATTCTCCTAAACTCCCAGCAGGGGGAGCCTCCACCTCCACCATAGCAGTCAATCCCCAAGGAGAAATCCCCAAAGGAGGTAGGAGCAAGAGAGTAACCAGTCTTGGAAGTGGGAGGCAGGGGTGGCTTTAGGTTGGGAGGGAAAGAGAAGCCTCCTGGGCAGATTTTACAGGAGTCGCTCAGCGCCACAGGGAGGACTACAGGAACTGGGAAAATGTGACAGGGACACCTCAGACTCAGGAAGAGGTTCCTCCTACTTAAGCTGTGCCCCCCCCCAACCCCTCCTAGGACCTCAGCCAAGAAAGAACTCTGCTGAATGCGTATAAGGACTTTCTTCAGGGATTAGACCCAAATAAAGTCAAAGCTGAGCCCCCATCCTCTAAGGCATTCGAGAAGCGTGGCAAAGCCTTGTTCGTTCTTTGCACTAAATGGGGCCATTGTCTTCCAATGGCAAGAGTCTTGCTCAAACCACAAAGCTCTTGTTTTCGCTATGGCCGTGCGCTCTTCTCCAAGTTCTCAGGTGTGATCCTGTGAAATTCTCAGTGTACAGGGGTCTTGTGCTGGGGAGCTCACTGACCAGAGCTGGATTTGCCAGTGAGAACCATGTGGGACCCTGGGAAGGGCTTTGCCTGGCTTAACTACAGATGAAGTATACAACAGGAAGTCGTCATGTGGCTTTAGAGAAAAGTCCTGATGTCTTTTTACTCTTATCTCTGTTTTGACTCATAAAGCAGAGAGGGGAGCTGACTCTGGAGGCTGCAAAGCCAAGGCTCGGGAAATAAAAGGGTCTTTAGGCTGAGGGATACTGCCAGTCGGCATCGCAAATTCTGGAGGATGAGGAAAGCTTCTGGACTGTGGCAAGATGGATCCCAGGGCCTGCTGGAGGCCTGGAAGGGCTTCCTGAAAGGATAGCAAGTCTTGAAGGACCTAACTTGGGGCCCTGGATCTGGTCCTAGCAAATCCTTCCACCCTGGTCTTACTTGGTACATTTGCACTGGAGATAATCTGAGAAGGTTCCAGTCCTGACATCCTGTCCAATGGAGGCTGCCCAGGGCACAGTGGCCAGCCTGAGGTTCACAGGGGAGCAAGTGTGTTTGATAAACTGAGCTCTGGTTGGTAGGAAAGGAGAAGTTACTCCCAGGAAAGCATTCAGCCTGGCATCACCCCCTCACGTAGCCTCTCCTTCCCCCCAGGTGGTGGCCGTCGATCTGGACGAGGGCCTGAATGGGCTGGTGGCCTATCGCATGCAGGTGGGCTTGCCCCGCATGGACTTTGTCATCAACAGCACCAGTGGTGTGGTCACGACCACAGCCGAGTTGGACCGTGAGCGCATCGCCGAGTATCAGCTGCGGGTGGTGGCCAGCGATGCAGGCACACCTACCAAGAGCTCCACTAGCACGCTCACCATCCGCGGTAAGTAAGGGATGCCTCCTGCTAGGAGCTGGGTCTGGGACAGTACCATCACTTACCAGCCCTACACTAGCCACAGGGTACCTGCTCCAGTGGGAAGCCAAACAGCCCCATCTTGATTGTCTCTACTGTGTTCAAGATGCTAGTTGAGCTTTGTCCCTACCTGACCACTGCCTCAAAGCCCAGAACCCCACCAAGGCCTCCATCCCTCCTACTCTCCCATCACAGCATCTATAGAGAGGGCCAAAGCTGACCCTGGGTCCCCAGGGTTCCCAGCAGGCTGTCATCTTCAGAAAGCCGGTGTTTTCTCCGAGGTAAAGGAGACTCCACATTCTGTGGGCATGGAACCATAGGACTTCTCATAAAAGGGTATGGCTATGGTGGGAAGAAGTTAGCTAGGAGCCTCCACTCCCAGATTCTTCACCCCTTGGGGCTAAGTGCCATTGTGCTCACCCTATATGAAGGAATACAATCTCCCATCTGCAAAGGTCTTTAGCTCTGAGAAAGATGGAGACATTGACAGAGTGCGAGTAGAGTCAGGAAGGACCTGAGGAAGTAGGAGCAGGACTTAGCCTGGCCTGGCCCTCCTGGTCCTCCACCAGAGGATACAGGGAAGCAGAGAGGTAGCTGCTGACCTAACGCGGACACAGAGCCGTGTTAATGGAGACAGGGACCGCGAGCATCTCAGAGCTGCGAGCATCTCAGAGTCAGCTGCTCGCTTGTCTGTGGATACAAGACTCCCTAGTAGATGCCGGGAGCCAGTTTGGGGACCCATTTCTTCACCAAATAATCAATAGGAAGTGCATCCCCTTTTCAAAGAGGACCCCCCCCCCAAAGAACCTCCATCCCAAGCTCAGCAAATCCACAGATAGTGACAATGGCCTGTCACTTCTGGTGACACTACAGAGAACAGGGAAGTCGTCTCACTTGTAAGGGTCACCCTAAACCCCATATGCTCAGGAAAGTGGGGGCTCGTGCGAAAAGCTAGGCATACAAACATTTAAGGGAAATTCAATTTTTAGGAAGGAAACCCCTCAGAGCTGGCTTCTTGCCCTGGGATCCCTTTTGTAAACTGGGGTAGCTCTCTTCCAAGACCACAGCCCCTCCCCTCTATCACTGTGCGACAGCAGAGAAGTTATTCAACTGCTCTGAGCTCCTGTCCTCCCATGTACAGTGTGGCTAATGTTGCCTACCTTAGAATGACGCCAAGGGGGTGGTTGTGGACTGAGTGGGAAACCATTAGTGTCACTGTAATTAGTATTATTGCCGTTGTTGTTGTTGTTAAGGACATACTGGCCTTATCATGCCTGTATCATGGGAATGGTGTGTGTGTGTGCCGGTTCCACTCGGCTTGGACCTTTCCAGCTCAGCCACCATACAGGACCCCTCGGTTCATAACCAGACAGCATTGACACAGATGTCACCTGAAGCCCACGATCCCTTTGGGAATCCTTTGCTGCCAGGTCCTGGGCGTCCACGGGAGTAGCCAGGCCTAGCCTAGTGTCTCTTCTGCTTGCAGTGCTGGACGTGAACGACGAGACGCCCACCTTCTTCCCTGCTGTTTACAGTGTGTCCGTGTCTGAGGACGTCCCCCGCGAGTCCCGTGTGGTCTGGCTGAACTGCACAGATAATGACGTGGGCCTCAATGCGGAGCTCAGCTATTTCATCACAGGTAGTTCCCCTGCTGCCCCGCCCTCCTGACAGGGACCCGGACCAGGTGGGGACAGAAGCGTGTAAAGGGAGCATGGCCCTCTACCTTCATGCCTCCCCCAAGCACTCACTCCTGGTTCTCAGGGAGCTTCAAGACTGAAGGTGTAGAGGGGAGGGGGTAGGCAGAGGGGACAGTGTTGGCTGGGGTGAGAAGGCAGTCGCTGCAGGAATGTGGCTTCATATTTCCCCGAGAACGCCTATCTGTTGAGAGGCAGATGGTTGCAAACTCCCTAAATGGATTAGTTTGGGCTGGAACATGTTCAGCAGCTACCACCATGTTGTGGCTAAAGCCAATGAGGTCCTGGCCTGGCTCTCTGGGGAAAGTGAACCTGCCACAGTAGTGGAACCTGTTGGGTAAAACACGCTCTGCGGTCATCATCTCATGAGCTAGAACCGTTTCTCAGCTCATCTCAATGCATAGCCTACCTGACAGGCTCTAGGATGCAGGGCAGGTGGGAGGAGCCCTCCCCATCCCTCAGCCCTCCCCTGACCACCTTCTTTGTGCTTCTGAGCTGTCTGGGTCCCTGTCACATATATACGACATCTGTGCACATGAACCCGAACACATGCACAGTGGACACACTACCCTCCCTGACACCTCGCCCCAGCAGTACGGGATCCCGGGCTTACATGTCATTTTACATGTCATTCATGGCTTCCTGTAGCCACAGTGACTGACTTTTCAGCCCCCAGGCTCTCCCTCCCAGGCCTTTCTCTCCTTCTTACTCATGCTCACCTCCTGTCCCAAAGACGGTTCCTGGAAGCCACAGTTAGGGAGACTCACACATGGCACCAAATCTAGAGGTTCTGCCGCTAACACTTAACTGGCGCTTTACTCCCTGCCCCATGCAGAACTAGATTCTGTCCATCACAGAAGACATTAGACTGAGGAGTCTGAAAGCTGACTTCCAGCACTTTCCCTCAGGTGCAAACCGTATAAAGAGAAAGATTTCCCAGGAGCAGCGAAGTGACCCATTCCTGCTCACTAGCCTTGAGCCCTCCTCGAGCTCCAATCTCTGAAACCAACTGAGCCTCCCTGCTTGTTCCAAACACAGTACAACAGCCCCCTCTGCTGTCTAGAGTGCTGCACTACAACCAGCTCACTCTGGCTGCTTCTCTCTCGCTGGTCCCAGAGAGACCTCCCCTGACTTTACCCACAAGGGGACCACCATCCAGGGAGGGCCACCAAGCCTTGCCTGTCTCCAATCCACCTGCCCCTCTGTTCCATTCCAGTCCTCCATGAGTCCCTGCCCAGAGAGCTGTAGTCCTTAAACCCTCTCTATCCCCAAAGATGAGGGTCCTGGGAGATACCCAACCCTCACCCCAAAGTCAGTCCTTGGCCACATGTGAAAGTCCTTACCCAAGTCAGCTGCTCAGTCTCCTTTGAAAGAAAGGCTAGGGCAATATGGGCAGGACCCAAGCTCCAGAGCTAACATTCAGGAAGAAGCCAGGACAGGGCACAGAACCTCCCTCAGATCAAGTGGAGATTAGATGAACCGGTCCATAATTGGAGTGCCTGGTACACTGTAGTACACAACAGATGTTGAACACTTAGGCTTCCTGTCATTTAGGCTGTGCCCTCCACCTATAAGAGGTTAATAGCATCCTTTGAAGGGTCCTGTGTAGGTCCCTGGTTAGGGAGAGAGTCACGATGCCTCCCTTTGTCCCATATAGAGCTCTGCTGCCCAACTTAAATCTTCCTTCACTTCTGCCCGCAGAGGGAAATGTGGATGGGAAGTTCAGTGTAGGCTACCGGGATGCTGTGGTGAGAACCGTCGTCGGCCTGGACCGTGAGACCACTGCTTCTTACACGCTCGTGCTGGAGGCCATCGGTAAGAGCTAGCTGCCCTGCATATTGTCTGTACCGTTATCCTAGGCAGAGCTCGCATTGGGGAACCAGGCCTAGAGCCCAAACTCTGCCTTCAGGCCAGTGAAGAAAAGCCCACCACACTCATAGTATTACTGGGCACTGTGGGGTGGGTGGTTGTCGTCCTATGCTCATAAGTGCTAAGAAGGGTAAGGCTACACGCAGGCCACTAAGTAGACTCATTGCTGCTATGCCGGAACAATGCAGAAGGGTAGACAGGTGACATATGAGCATCGTGCATCCATGCTTGATGGCACATACCTGTGCTCCTAGCACAGAGGAGGTGTGGACAGAAGGATCCAGAGTTCAGAACCATTCCCAACAGCACAGCAAGCTTGAGACCAGCCTAGTCTACATGAGTCTTTTCTTAAACAACCAAACATTAAAATAAATGGGCAGTGACTGGTCGGAACTAGGGGGCAACACTGGACCTTGGTCTCCCTGCTTTGGTTGTTCTGCCCCTGTGTATTAATTGTGTCATTCAATGAACCATCATGGCCATTCGTGACAGCCACCCCAGTTCAACATCCTCCCAGATTCAAATATAGCAGTAGAGAAGCCTTCTCCCAGCTTCAGCCTTTAGGCTAGCTGTGATTAGTTCCATCAGGTCTGTGCTGGTTGCTGGGCACCTCGTTGTGGCTAGGGAAGTGAGGTGTGCCCAGTTATGCCTGTAAGTTGTTCATCTCTAGTGCTACAGACAGGGTGATGGGGCGGGGAGGGTATCCCACCCGAGATCTCAACATCAAGGGGGACAGTCAGGTGTAGTCTTCCCTGGAAAGGGCAGGGTGTACTGCTAGGCAAACAAGAGAGCTATAATGTGTGTGTGTACATGCATGCATGTCTGTGCGTATGTGTCTGTGTGTGTCTCTGTGTGTGCATATGCATGTGTGCATGTCTCTGCGTGTGTTTGTGCATGTGAATGTGAGGAGGAGGGCTTGCATGCATATGTGTCCCCCAGTACACACTAGCCACCTGCCCAAGGTCTAGCAGACTCTGGAAGAAAAGGCTATAATCACATAGGGAAGAAAGATGTGGAGATTTGAATCTTGAGTTAAAAACTTTGCCTTTGCTCTCTAATAAGTAGGAAGTCCCTGAGGGTTCTGGAGGGGAGACAGATATGGGGAGACTTGTGTTCCCTCCTCCCAGTGGCTCTTGGTCCTCCCAGGAGCCCCCTCTATAGTGAGCTATGTCCCACCCAGCTCAGCCAGGCCCTGCTCTGCTCTCTACCCATCCTGAGTGCAGCCTGGGAGCACAGTGCCTTTTGGAGGGCCATCACCACACTGGAGCCAGCCTTGGCTTGAGCTGGCAGAAGCACGGGGCTCTGGTCCCATCATCCATGAAGGTTTTCTAGCTCAACATCTTCAGCTGAGGCAGGGCCTTTGGGTGAGAGGGAGGAACCTACAAGAGTAAAAGGGACCACCCTGTGGTCAATGACCCATACCCCAGCGTGTACTCAACTAGAAAGAAAAACCAAGTCACCATCGGTCCCCAACCAACCATACTCCCCTGCTCCCCCCTGGGCTGAGTATCCTGGTGGGGACATATAGCTCTGGGGCAAGAGTGTCATCTTCTGGAGAGGATGTTCAGAAGCTTTCCCAGGTGGGCCAATGACCTTTGTCACTGCTCTCCACCCTGGCTGGCTCCTGCAGAGTCCCAGCATACCTTAGGCTTGAGAGCTAAGCTCATCCTGTAGCCCGATGTTTAATAAGGAACAATAATGTTTAGTGGGAGACATTTTTTTTCTTAAAAAGCCTTTATTCCAAAGTTAAGATGCTCAGTCTCTTTTGAGGAATCAGAAGCCCGGTGTCCCTGGGCCCACTTTTTGCCCATCATCTGTGACTGGAGCAGCAAACACTGGCCCTTGAGGTGGCTGACCCAGTGTCTTAGCCTGTTCCCTTGCCCCTCGCTGCACCCTGACTTGAACAGAAGGCAGCATCATGTCTCCTCATCTGTGTGGGTCCCAGGCTTACTGGGACAAATCAACGCAACTGTGGTGACTTAAAAGAACACAGATGTGGTGTCTCTGGTTCCAGAAGTTCAAAATCAAGGTGTCGGCAGAGCCGCCGTCCCTCCACAGAATCCCTCCTTGCTCTTCTCCGTGTCTGGTGGCCGTAGTTGGCTTGTGGCCCCATCTTCACCTGACTTTCTCTTTGTTGGTGGTTATGTTTTGAGAGAGGCGGCACTCAAATGACTGGTCTCTCACAATTCCCCGGCCTTGGCTTCCCCGTTAGGAACGACAGGTACCCACTGTGTCTTCCAAGGATACCTAATCGCTGGGTAAATGGATAACGGGACTGGCCTCCCTTCAAGATCCCTAGCACAATCAAATATCCAAAAGTCCCTTTTATGACATGACCCAGTGTGGATAGGTTCCTGGAAATCTGAGCCTTCATCCCATCTTCTTCAGAGCCTTGCTTAGCTCCGCTGTGAATTGGGAGAGAGAATCCTGCTGACTTCCCCCGGCTGTTGTGGGAACTGAATGAGCCAATGAAGTTTATCTGTGACATGGCATTAGGTCATCCCTGGGTATTGTTAAGTGTTGCTGATCGTCTGGAAGGGCCATGAGCCACTACCCCTTGAGGCTGGTGTAGGTCAGTGTAACTCTGGTTGATGGCCTGGAGTATCAGGCTTCTAATGTCTGTTCTCTTCACCTCCCACAGACAATGGCCCTGTAGGCAAGCGACGCACTGGTACGGCCACCGTGTTTGTCACCGTTCTGGATGTGAATGACAACCGGCCCATCTTTCTGCAAAGCAGCTATGAAGCCAGCGTCCCAGAAGATATCCCAGAGGGTCACAGCATCGTGCAGGTAGGTGGCAGACTGGGGCCGGACTGGGCTATGCTCAGCCCTGAGGGCACAGGCTCAGGAGCATCATGTCATAAGCGGTAGGGACAGCAGCGGTCCAGCGTGGCCTGAAAGTAGCTTGCACTTCAAGAAAAGGAATGCATGGTCCCTCTTCCTTTCTGTGTGAGCTGAGGACAGGGCCCTGGCTCGCCTTAGCTTCCCCCAGAGCCTTTCAGAGCATCTGGGAGGGGAAAGTAACTCTTTCCTGGAAGGGACTCAAGGAGAGAGAGCCAGGGCTCAACAAGGCCAGACAGAGAGGCTTTCACAGCATCTTGGCCAGGCTCCCCCCTTGGAAGAAAGCAGGCAAAAGAAGACAGCGCTCCTTGGCCCAGAGTAGGAGTCACAGCTAAGAGGCCCAGAGGGAGTTGACCCTGAAAATGATGTGTGTGTGTGTGCGTGCATGTGTGCATGCATGTGTGTGTGTGTGATGTGTGTGCACGCACATCACACACACACACGTATACACATAGGGGGTTGTTACTTAGTTGCTGGGGGAAGAACAGGGACTGAATGACCCACTTCATCAACCTCAGTGTTTTCCACACAATCCAAGAGTAAGCCAAACTCAACAAAGATGGGCCTGCTGCTATGGCCCATTCCCTAGCTCAGGAAGGAGGGAAGAGGGGGTGGGAGAGTGCCCACTTCCCTGTGGGGGAAACTGGGGATGATCAAGAAAGGAACAGAAAGCTGACTTCAATAGAGTCCAGAAAGGCCAGAGACATATAAGAATCTAGCAGCTGGCTCCTAGAGAGAGGGAGAAAATGGGTCCTTACCCAGTCCCTGGCCTCAGCTAAGAAAAAAAAACAGAGCCCCCACCCAGGAAGCAATGGAACACCACCCTAACTTAGTACCTGCTATCTCCATTTCATAGGCACCCCAGAACCTGTAACCTACCCAACATAGGGCATAGCAGGCCATGGGGGAGTCTAGCCTAAGATGCTTCAGGTGGGGTGAAGATGCAAGGGGGGATGCTCAAAGTCCTTTGGGGAGAAGCTAGATTGCTTCCTGGTCCTGAAATCCTGGATTCTATGTATGTAAAACCTGGAGTCCCTGAGTGACGTGGGGCTACCCTGGTCTATCCACTTCTCAGATGTTCAGGGTCTCAAGACACTTTCTCTCCCAGGCTGTAGAAGTGCCCTGCAAAGGTACCCCCACCTTGTCAGAAGGATGCAGGAGGAAGGCACAGTGACCTCACCTCCATAGTAAGCTTGGAGAGCCACCTTCCTTTAGGGATATCACAGGGGACACTAGGCCATTGGTGTGGGGCAGGTTCACACTAGATACCTACCGCTTTAGGGATGCAGTGGGTGCTGGGACATGATGTCGCTCCCTGCAGTTCCCAGTCTTGTAGGAAAGGAGATAGACAAGACTGTACATGCTGCTGGCCTCCCTAAGACAGATGAGAGACCGGAGGAGCTCCAGACAGAAGGGCAGTTCTATTGCAAAACAAAGAAGGCTTCACAATGTGGGTGCCAGTAAAGCTTCAACCATAGACAGGGAAGACAGATCGTTCAGTTGCCTTAAGTGTCTGGTCAGGGTGAGGCTAGAAAGATAAATTGCAGCTACTGCCTAGATCCTGCAGCACACTGTAGAATGGATACATCCAGTGGGCAAGGGAAACCAGTGGAGGCTTTGGATCTAGAGAACGTCAAAACCAGCACTTAGTCCTTGGGAATATTGGGTGACTTCATTCTGGGTCATAGCAGGGCGGGGAGCAGCCCTGTGATGGGGTCCTGGGTCATTTGACTCTGGGACAGGACCTAAGCATCGCAAGTTCCCTCTGTGTAATCTTCAAGTCTGAGATGCAGCAGAGGCCTTGGCTATAGAAGATGGGACCAAAGGCTGGGATTCCCAGCAGCCCATACCACACTGCAGTGGGCCTACTTACACAGGTCACTTGATGAAGTTATTGCCACAACGCACAGAGCACAGTTCGTGCGAGCCAGCCTTGATCCTACCACTGTCCTGAGAGGTCTGGCCCATGCTATTTGAGAGGAGGCCATCTCTTTCCCAGCGGTACCACTGCCATGCGTCCTCAGAGTCCAGGCAGCATCCCTTCCAGTATCGACAGTGGCCAGCTTCCTGTCACGGTGACACAGCCTCCACCTAGCCTTAAACAACAGCCTCTTTTTTTGTTTGTCTGACTTGTTTTGATTTCATTTGAATCAGGACTTTATGTTGTAGCCAGGCGGTCTTGAACAATCCTTCTGCCTCAGCCTGTTGCATGCTGGGAGTACAAGTGTGAACTATTGCCCTTGGCGTATAGGAAACTTCTTCTGTAGGCTGACATCTTCAAGTCCTCCTAATCTGTCCTGACAGGAGGCCACAAAGGGAGTTTCCAGACTCATGATTTGACACTCGCCAGTCCCCTAGCTGGCAACTAACCAGATCCACAAGAAGGGATGAGAAGGTCAAGAAACGGATCCCTAGGTTGCTTTCCCTTGGGTATTAAGTTAGCACAAGTACAAGCTAGTGCAGACCCAGAATAGGCAAATATCCCACTTGGTTGAGGTGTCTGGGCCTTTTAGCAGCTGCTCTCAGCTGGGTCTTCAGAAGTTAGGCAAGCTTTCTGGCGGAGCAGAGGATGCTATCCCTGGGATCAGTAGACACCTAGCTTCCAAAAGGGGATGCTGCAGTACCCCCAAGTTGTACCTCAGGGCCACAGAGTAAAGGTCTAAAGACCTGTGGGTATTTTGAGCCAAGGGTCTGTTAATAAGCAGAAGTGGCTAACATCAGAGTCTTCTGGAAAGGATATGGGCTGGACATACAAGGAAACACTGGAGTGATATAGGGGTCTCGGGTATCATTGTCCTACAGCCTACAATGCCAGGCTCCAACAGAGGCAGCCATCAGAGGTCTTAGGTTAGCCTGTATGAAGATGGCCACTGTATCACATCTCAGTGGCTTCAGTGAAGTCACAGTCACCTCGCTGGTCATCAAGGCCCGGCAGAGGACACTGCTGGGCAGCAGGCCTGCCTCGCCGGAAGCTGTGCAGAGATCGGCGTAGCGAGCCCAGGCGCTTCCAGAGCCGGAGCCTGGGCTCGCTGGGGCTCCCTGGGTGATGTGGCATGTATTCCCGGGCCCCTTGACGGCCAGGGTCCAGCGCAGTGGGCTTGCACAGCATCATGAATAGCAGGCAAGAGGCCAAAAGCAGAAAAATGCAGGCCAGGGCGATAAGAACTGGTACAGGGTCGGCAGCCTGGGTGTAAGTCCCAGAAGTGGCCGGAGTCGTAAGGAAGGTTGGAGGGCTGGAGAGGCTGGAGCCCCCTGTGTTCATGGTGCCTGCAAGGGCAGGACAGAGAATCAGGGCAAAGGAACTGCATCCCAGGCAGGGGCAGGAGAGACTCACCTGGAGCACACCAATGAGGGCTGAGCAGTTGGTCATACTCTCATGATCTTCTTGTCACAGTTAGTACAGCAAGGCCCAGAGAGGCACAGTTAGTACAACTGATTAGTGATAGGGCTGGGTCTTGAACCGGGGGCTTCTATCGGCTCTACCGCTGCTGCACAGCCATGAGGAGCATAGTGTATTGAAAGCTTTCTGGCATTTTATAATCAGTTCTTGGAAATTACCATGCAGACTTAAGCCTAAAAACACAAATCTAAGCCCAACTCTATCAGGAAGCCACTTTACAAATCAAGAACAAGTCAGAGTGTAAGATGCTGTGGTAAGGGCTGGTGGGGGACCCTCGCAATGGCCTAAGGCCAAGGCTGTAGACCAGGGGCCCACACATGTGTTTTGGTGGTTGCTTGGTGTGTTTTTAATTTATCTGCGACTATTTTTTAAAATGAGATTTCCACATCAGGAGTAATAGTGCACGCCTGTAACCCCAGCACTCTGGGGAGGGGGAAAGAATAGGAGTTCAAGGCCAGTTTTGGTTACTTAGGAGATTTGAGACCACCTTGAGCTATGTGAGACATAGATGGATGGATGGATGGATGGATGGATGGATGGATGGAAGATAGATAGATAGATAGATAGATAGATAGATAGATAGATAGATAGATAGATAGACAGACAGACAGACAGACAGATAGATATCTGAGTGCCTAGCTTCTCTTTCCATGTCATAACCTCACTAGTGGCTTCTCTGATGTCCCCTTTACAGAAGTCGCTGGCCACACTCCCTCATGCCTACCACATACCTATTCCACCTGCCTGGATCCATGAGTACTTCTGTTGCTACTTCCTGATGCAGCCTAACCTGCTCCCAGGGAAACCAAGGCTCAGCATGAGAGGCCAAACCCAAGGCCACATAGGCAAGCAAAGAGGAGAAAGACCAGATGTTCTGACTCCTGGTCCCGTGCCTGCCCCCTACTAGACTCCCAACCCTCTCTGAGTCACTCAGACACACTTGGGAAATATAAACCCAAAGAGCTGACAGAGTGTAGCCAGAAACCTGCCCTGTGACATCGTTCACCTTCTAGACGTTTCCATTATCCCTTCAGGGGATCCATCCTCTGTGGGGAATGCCACAGACTGTCCTCATAGACAAAGGACCAGGCTAAACTGATTGACTAGTAGCTGGTAATAATAATTCCAGAGCCTTGGTGCGGGTAATGCATGGCCAAAGAAGCTAGATAGCCAATTCCAAAAAGGGCCCTAGCTGACCCCCACAGCCTGGGCTGGCCCTTGGGAACATAGAAATTTTTGCCAGGCTCTTCAGGCTTCTCAACTGAGGCAAGAAAAGTTTTTTAGTTTTTTGGGTTTTTTTTTTTTTTTTTTAAGGCAAACATCCCTGCTATTTAAATATTGGCAGCTAATTTGAAGTTGTCTGAAGCACAGAAGAAAGACAGGTATTACAAAATGCCAGATAAACTTGATTCCCAAAGTTTTTAAATCAGTTTTTAAACTGGATGTGCTCCCCAGGCCAGTCAAAGCACACACACAGCCTCCGCCCAGCTGACAGGCCAGCGGCTACGCCTTTTGCATTGCACAACCCGGTAGAGAAAATTCCAAAGATCCAAACAGAACTCTGATCTTAGAGCCTCACCTGAGGCGGATGGAGGGCAGCTTTCTCCTTCCCACATTACTTGGCCTCTCCCTCAGACTCTGGCACCAAAACCGGGACCACAGGGGAGGCTCGGTTATGCCAAAATCCTGCCTTCAGCCAGGGAATCACAGAGCATGGCCACCCTGGCCGCTTAGCCCCTAAGCCCTTGTCCCACACGGGCACTCACCAGCAACTCCGGGACCTAACTCCTGGCTCCTGGGCACAGCTGACTGAGGGCACCCGGTACTCTCCACCCACCTACCTTCCATCTCTTACCACAACCCCTCCCATCCCTTAAAGCTTCCCCAAGCTGGAAATTCTGATGCTTGTCTTAACTGCTCAGGGCCTCCACCCTTCAGGCCTTGGGCCTGGAAAGCCCTCTGAGTGGACAGCATCTATGGATCAGCCCTTCCTGGAGTCAGCTGGAGTAGGGATGGGGCATACCCACTGCCATTCCCCGTGGAAAGAAACTAGCAGTCCCTTGGCTCTCAGCACTTGGCTCCAGTAAGGAAAGGGCAGTCCCAGCTGAGAAAGGCCTCCATCCTACTAGCACAGAGCCCAGAGAAGCCGTGAGGGCCTCTTCTGCCTCAGCATCTGAGCCACCCTCGTGGTAGTCCATGACTCTGATGTGCTTGAGGCAACCCTGGCTGCTGTTTTCCCTGCCGCCAGCCAGCAAGAACAGATGATTCTAGAGGACTTGAAGCCCAAGCATGGAGCCCCCTTCCAACTGGAGCCCTCCACTGAATGCACCTCTCCACAAGCTCTGCCTAGAAACTGTCTTACTTCCCTTAGGATCCCACAGAGAATGCGTGACCTTGGCTTAGTCATTCCCCTCTACTGGGCCTCATTTCCTTTCTCAGAGCAATAGAAGGACACCCCAAATCTGAGCACCCCTTCATGTCCTCCCAATTTCCCAGTAAAGGTCTTCCCTGCTTCTTTCCTTGGCTTTCTCTACAGTCCCTTGTCACTGGCCTCAGGCCTACCCTTGGAGGTCTGTATTCTCAGTGGCAAGGCCGCTCAGCTGTCCCAGGAGGTCCAAGGTGTACCAGCCCGCTGTATTATCCGTGAGCAACAGGGCAGGCGTTCTCCCCGTTTCTCCATCTGAGCCTGGTTTTGTTGGAAGAGTCCTGGAGTGCCTAGGGGAGGGGACAACTGGGAGGTAGGGATGGCAACTGAGTGGGAAGAAGGGGAGGGGAGCCCTCCTGTGTGGCTCGCTCCAGCCTGTCTCCTTGGAGCCCTCTCACGTGTGCAAACGCTAATGACAGCAGGGGATGGATTTAACCGCCTCATGGGCCCGGGTCTCCCACCATCCCCCTTGGAAATTTGAATGGTATGGCCGACTATTCAGTGCCTGCCAGCCCCCAGGTTACCAGGGAGAGGGTCTGTTAGCAGAGAGACAGCAGGAGTGATGGGCGCGGTGCCTTGCCCCCCAAGACCTCCCCTGCAGGGTCTCTAGGCTCTCTTTCCTGGATTCTCAGAGGAGTGTCCCTTTTAAGATGTCTGGCTGCAGAAGTGAGGGCAAGGAGCATTTTTCAAATTTCAAAATGCTGGACCGAGGGACGGCCAAGGACAGGCCATTTACAGTTTGAGTGGAGTACCAGTCTCTCGCCAACCCTCCCCCACAACCCTCCTTTCTTCCAAGAATCCCAAACCTCCCTGGCAACCAGCTGCCTGCTTAGGGGGCCCCAGTTTTGTGCAGCTTGTCTACCAGAGGCTTGTATACATGGTAGCAGTCACAGCTACATCTAAGGCCTGTAGCCCTTCACTACAAAACAAAGCCTAGTCTCCCTCCCCTGAAGTGGACAAGAGCCTTCCAGTGTACTATGAAACACCGAGAGAGCCTTGGTGACCCAACACAGCCCCTCCCAACAGGTGGCAAGTGACTCTGGGGGCCCAGGAGCTTGCGGCAAACCCAGCTTCTGGCTTCCTTGCTGCCAGCCAGCCGAGAACAGCTAGTGCTGGAGGAATTACTCCTGAAGCCCAAACTCCAGTTAGCCAATGAGTTAGTGCTGGGTGGGAGCCCAGTGTCTCCCTAATTAAAGGACAAGAGCCCTTGCCACGCGAAACACCCCCCACCCTCCGTCTCTCTGCCGACTTGATCTTTGCAAGGAGAACCCCTCCTCAGTCCTCCTTTCTCGAAGTGTGTGCAATGAGTGAAGATAGGAAAGTTTGTAGTACAGCTTTTGAGTGCCAAAACAGACTCAAAAACAGTTGCGTCATCAAAAAGCTCACCCCAGCATGGACGATGACTACCAGAGATGTAGCTTCCTGCCGAATTTTTCAGCAGCTCCACCCAAGAGTCTTTTCGGTAATTACTGTCCACTGTAAAAAAAAAAAAATGTTTTCCTGCTCAAGGCTAGCAGCAACAGTAATCTGTGAAATATAATAATGCCTGGAAGGCGATTTGACAAGAACATCACATCCGTTGAACAGAACAACAGCTGTGGCCTTGCTGTGAAGGCCTATGATCTTCCCAGCCACAGAGTTTTGCCCTGATTTATAGAACCAAATGTGAGTTCTGTCTTGTGGCCTGGGCCTTAAATCCAATAGAAAAGCACCTCTAACAGCTATGCCACTATTATTCCAGAGGACACATTTTGGCCTGGCCTGTAGCCCATAGAGAGTTCATAGCGATAACATTGTGACCTTTCTCTTAACGGCCTACACAGTGCCTTCCAGCTCTATAGAAGGGGAGGGAGCTCCCAGCTCTAGCTAAGGGAGCTCCTAGCTTGCCTTCTTCCACCAAAGTGTGCAGTATCTCCAACAATAAGAATTTTCCACCTAACACGGGTATCCAACCAACAGCAGCCACAAGAGCCTTCCGTGTAGAGGATCTCGGGGACCTCCCTGCGTTCATGCACTGGGATAATTCATCAGTAACCTTATGGCTTCTGGGCATGCCCATTTCTACCCGTGTGGTATAGCTTTATACAGACTCTTTCGCTGCTGTTTTTACTGTTATTCCAGATGCTTTTCCAAATCTGTCAGACACTCAGGATTGGCATTCTGCAATGAGACTTTTTCACAGAGGCTGGGCATGATTTCTGGAGACCCATGGCTGTCCACTATAAACATGCACCAGGGGCTGTGTGGTGCAGCAGTGAGGGGGACACCAAAAAAAATCATGGATGGGGGCTGTACCCTATCTGTCCCTCCAGAAGACACAATCATTCTCCATAAACCACCCTAGGGCCTCATCTTGGGGCTCTGCCATGGGGTTGCCATGTATTTCCCTGCCCATGATGGCCTTGATAAGGATAGCTTGGGCCTCTTGGCTGAACTGGCAGTGGAGGGTGAATGAGGTCCACGTTGTCCTCTGCCATGCCTGCTAGATGACCGACTCTCTGATTCAGTATCAGTACCATGGCCACTGTCCATTGGCAACATCTGGTTACTAAAAGGACCCCCAATCTCCATGAGGTTTTTGATATAGAATCTCCTTTTACAGTCCAGACTAGCCTAGTACTTGCTACGTAGACCAGGCTAGACAGTCCTTTGGGTCTTGCATGCTGTGCTGGAGTTGCAAGCATATGTCACCACTGCAGCCCAGTGCCCTTTCTTGAAGCGGGAAATGTGCACAGTTTATTCTGAGAGGATAGCCGCCCGTTCATTGGACGGTCTTCGTCACCTGTTTCACTCTGCCATTTGCTCCTTCCTCTCCCATGAAGCCTCTAGAAGCTCTCAGGCGCAGCATCTGCCCTTCCGTCGATCCCTTCCCTGGTGCATTTGGCTCAACACAAATCTTTGCACACTTGCTCTTTGGGTGACCTGGAGATAGCCTTCCGGCCCTCTGTCTTCCCCTCATCTTTGCTTTAATGCCTTACAGAGCCAGTTTACATGTTGGTCTGAATCATTTAGATCCCCCCCCCCCAGAGCTTTTCCTACATTATAAAGGTCACACTCCACCAGGGAGCTCAGCAAAGACACTAAAGCCCCAAACCCGTCCCTAGGAAAATCAACTTCTTTTGTAACTCTCTGGTAAACACAGAGCTCAAAGCCACCAACTGGCCATTACTCACCACCTCTCACATGCCTAGTCGTTCCCTTAGCAATGTCTGTCATTCCTCTTTGCCCTCCAGTCCCCGCTAGCCACGAAGGTCTGAGACGTAACCAAGGCTGCCTATTGGCTTGTCTGAGGGACTTGTTTTCCTCCTGTCGTCTCGGTCTGTGCCGTGTTCCGCTCAAGGAGGAAGAGTGTTTATATCACTTAGTTTCTTATTTCCACACAACTCAGGCCATCCCCATCTGCCTGTGTGTCCCATGGCCTCACGCATAAGACAGAGAGACTCTTATTCCTTGTATAAACGCCTTTCCCCTGAGGCTTGAGAGATGGCCTGGTGGTTAAGAGTGCTCACTGCTCTCTAGAAGCTCGATATTTGCTCCTTCGCACCCCTAGCGTCTACATCTGGTTGCTCCCAGGATCCAAGACCCTCTTCTTCTGACCTCTGCAGGCACTCACACACTCGTGGCATACCTACATGTATACGTACAAATAAATGATAATAAGTCTTTTCCGATTCAGTCAGCTTAGAGGCTAAGTAGTCCCCGGTTATCATGGTTTATCATGCTGGGCCTTAATTAAGGCCTCTGTCTGTATGCTGGACCATCGACTTTTCCCCCCTGGCTTCTCTGTATTAAAGATTTGACTGAGAAGCAGTTTCTCTCCCTTCCATGTCACTCCTCTTTAGTCTCCTGTCCCTTCCGTGGGTCCCAAGTCCTTGCCTCTCAGGAAGCCTATTGGTCGCAGCTCTAACTTGCGTTCTTTCTCCCTTGCATCCTGCCAGTCATAGGAGGCAGCAGGCTAACACCTCCATCTCGGTCTCCCCTTTCAGCATCTTTCCTCCCAAATCGAAGGCATCCACATGCCACTTTCCTATCGTAACCCCTCCCTTACACAGGCAAGTTCTTTTTGGACAGACGTCTGAACTGCAGTTGCATGTTGCAAAGGCTTCCAGTGCCCCCTCAGATGGATCAGCCTCTGAGGTACGTCTTAGCACCATGGCAGATGTGGTCTGCTGGTCCCTGTACGGGTAGTGTCTTAGTTATTTTCCCGATGCTTTAATAAAGTACCATAACGAAAGCTTCTTAGGGGTAGAGGGCATATTTTTGCTTTACAGTTTCAGAGGGATACCAGTCCATCAAGGCAGCAGGCAGGGAAGGCGTGGTGACTGAAGCAGGAGGCTGGCCAGTCACACTGCATCCACACTGGGAAAGCAGAGTGAATTGGAAGTAGAGTCAGGCTATAAAGCCTCAAGTCCAGTCCCCCAGTGATCCACTTCTCCCAGGACGTGGCACTGCCTCCTAAAGTTTCCGCGGCCTTCCCAAACAGTGCCACCATCTGGGGATAAGTATTCAAACTCAAGAGCCTGGGGGGCGGGGTGCACTTCATATTCAGATCGGAATCGATACCAATTTTGTTGCCAGGCTTTCCCCAGGGAAATATATACAAACATCTCTTCACCCCAGAGAGGACACTGGCGATAAAACAAATGATTCAACCCAATGCTACCTTGGTGAAGCAATAGTTTATTTACAGATCCCAGGAAGCTCTTCAGTAGAACTCTCGGCAGGGTGGTCAGGGAGCTCCAGGGATGCAGCTTTTAAACATCTCCACCCATGCTAGGGTAGGCTTTTCAGCAATACAGCTTCTTCACAGTCACCCAAGTGATGTTCCTAAGATGTCACGAGCCTCACAGGTAGGGGATCATAGAGATATGGAGTGGCCTCTTCCAGCCTGGGCCAGAGGGTGATGATGAAATATCCCACATGTGCCCCTGTACCCCATGAAGAGGGGATGGGACGGTCCTGGTGCCAGCATAGACCATAGATAGCAGGGTGTCCTTGTGGACAATAAAAAGGATGCACACTTAAGCCTGGGGTTGGGGGAGCTGCAAAAACAGATCCCCCGCTCCCTGCCTTGGAACTAGGAATAACTCCACTGTCTCTTCTCCTTCAGCTGAAAGCCACGGATGCAGATGAGGGCGAGTTTGGGCGTGTCTGGTACCGCATTCTCCATGGTGAGTGGGCTACCACAGGGCAGGAGGGACGGCCACTGCCCTAAGACAATATTTCTCTT